GGCTTTGCTCCTTGAATGGGTGCCCCTTGGCTAGGGTTTGTCCCACAGGCACTCGTCCCAAGCAACTCAAAGGAGATAAAAAGCTGAGATGGGGAAAAAGAAAGAAATGGAAGAGCAGGCAGGAGAAGAAGACAGAAACCAGGAGACAGAGAGCAGGAAACAGCTCTCTTGTCCCTCGGAACAGGTAACAGCTGACTCAGAGCAAAATATTCCCATTTGAAGACCAAAAAGCTTCTGTAGCCGCAGCCTCTTGCATGCACAGACCCTGCACAAGCAGGCGGCATGGAGAAGCTCAGCACTGCTCCTTGCTGAGGAGCACAGCTGAAGACAGCCACATTTGCTTCCTTCAAGAGTTCAAGTCACTCCCTATAAGGTCTGGTAATTCCAGGGTGTGCATTTGTCTTCCTTCCTAACTGTATTTGGCTGCACTATGGGTGTTTTACCTACAGTTCCCACACGAAGTAACCCAGCTTCTCCCTTCCTGCAGACAGCTATTTACAGGATTTGAATGGGTAGGTCTGAAATGACTCCATGTCCAGAATCACCACTGCCAAAGGAAGGAGACAGGGGTCTTTGCAAAGGGCTTTAACAATCTCCCTGTTGCTCTGGCTGGCAGCTTTCGGCATGCGTCCCACATTCTTCACTAGCCCTTTCCTTAGCAATGAATAGGCTTTTAGTGCGCTTTCATAATGGTTTCTTTTCCTGTGGCACTCAGAAAAAGCTTTCAGCCTGCTCCAGCTGCCTCCTCTGCTGCCTCTCCTTATCCACAAGAAAGATGTGGTGGCTCTGCTCAGCATATCCTCTGCCGCTAGCAGGGCCACTCTTTCACCCCTGAGAAGAGGTGGCGTGTGAGCAAGGGGTGGAAGATGGCTTTGCTCTGCTCGTGCTTCTTAAAGCTCCTTTGCAAGCTGGGGGTTACAAGGCTGAGTTAGGACCTCTTCACCCCTCACCAAGAAGCACACGTGCCCTGCGCTCGGCAGCCCCCATGCAGGATCAGGGGGCTTCAGCCTGGGCTCTGTGGCTGCACCGTGCCACAGACTGAACTTGCACTCCCTGGATGTAACTTTTCAGGTTATATGGATATATGTAAGGATATAAGGAGGAAGTTCTTTACTGTAAGAGTGGTGAGGCACTGGAATGGGTTGCCCAAATAAGTGGTAAATGCCCCATTCCTGGCAGTGTGCAAGGCCAGGTTGGACAGAGCCTTGGGTTACATGGTCTAGGGTGAGGCATCCCTGCCCATGGCAGGGAGGTTGAAATGAGATGATCTTAAGGTCCTTTCCAACCCAAACTGTTCCATGATTCTATCATTGTGTGCAGGAGGTCTTGGCTCTGGTTTGAGGCAGATGGAAAGTGCATGCTCCTCCTGCTTGTTTGCCTCATCTTAATTCCCATCAGGGCTGTTATTCCAAAGCCTGCAGTGACAGGACTCGTGCACAGCCACAGCAGTGTGTAATCTACTCCACATGTTGTTCAGCTTTTTCTCCTAGATTTCATAACGATGCTGATTAATTAGGGATCCAGAGTTGCTTTAGTTCAGGCTAATAAAAGGACTTTTGGAGCTCCCAGCAGTTATCTCAGATACCTACATCATCAGGTACTCTAACCACCCTTGAACATTGTACAATAGATGTAAGCTGAGATTTCAAAGGCTTTGAGATCAATGAGAATGACAACTCCCAGAAAAGCATTCAGTACCTGTGTACTTGTCTGGCTCTGGCTAAGAAATGCCTCTGAAACTGTGGACTTCAGCAGCAAAAGCTCATTTTCCTTGAGGCAAACATGACGTGAGGAAAGGGGCAGAGTGGCAATGCAGCACGCTGCTGTCATGTATCAAGAATTGAAGGTTATTTTCATACTAACCTGCAGTCTCTCCTCTGGTTTTGCCCGTTCTCTTCACTTCAGGGGTTTTATTTGTGGCAGAGGAAAGCACTGAGTATGTGTTTACCATTTCCCTTATGCATATGTGACTCCCAGACACCTCCACTTTTTTCTATATATTGTTTCAGGATTAAACAGAAAATCTATACACACACACACACATCCCCCTCTGATATTGAGACAACTACTTTGTGATTCACACGGAGTGTTGGGACAATGGTAGGCATGAGGTAAGTTTTAGCCTGGCTCCTAAAGAATTGTACAGTGGCACATGGCCTGGGAGATGTGTCCCTGTGTAGCTCCTTAAGTCCGTCCCTCACTGATAGCTCTTGATTTGAGATCTCACAGGCAGCATATTTCTATGAGTTTCATAGAAACAGGCAGGTTGGCTGAAGAGAAACCTCCACTGAGGAGCAGAGGATTCACAGCCCTGGAGACCTACCGTCTCATTAGATGGGTTGGTTTGGGGCATCTCCTGGGCCTGAATGCCAAATTCCATTCATCACAAAGGAGGGAATTGCACTCGGTGGCTGAACAGCCGCCTTGGAGGACAGAGGCAAAGAAGCTGTAACATCTCCTGAAATCTGTGCTTCACACATACAGCAAACACAGCAAGTTTACGGTGGTTTGGGACTTTACACATCTGGTTAATACACTCACTTGGTGAATCAACCATGTCAGAACACATCACTGGCCAGGTGCCATCTTCTGCAGTAGGTCAGATGCAGCCCTGGTAACTACCTGCCTCTTACTGCCCTAAAGGAGGTTTACAGAGCCCTGGGGGCTCGGCATAAATGACCAAGTACTTTTTTCTTCAACAGCCCCCACTTACACCAAGCAGGTGAAAACTTCATGTTTCAGGGAGGGGGAGAGGGCTCTGCACTGGCCACTGACATAGATGTTATTTTGGATACCCCGATGGTGAAGTCTAGCTCTTATAGGAACACAGCATCTGACTCAGGCAAAGTGGTGCATGGCTAAAATAGCAGTCTGAGAAATGGAAGTGTCTGCTTTCTCCTCTGTGCTTTTACTCCTGTTACAGCATTGCAACAACACCCACACGTACACACAGAGCAATCGCTCTTTGCTCCAGGCTGGTTACTTTTCTCTCTAATCATGCACAGCCATCAGGGGCCTTATAATAACTGGCTGTGCTTGAATCTGCGGCCACGGACCTTGGCAGCAGTGTTAGTGCTCAGTGTCAAGAAGGGAATCAACTTCTCTGGTTTTAACACCCTGCCTTTGGTAAACTCTGCTGCTTTGGCTGTAGCTGGCAGGGAAGAGAGGAGTTTCCACCTATCATCAATCTGTGCCACTCTCTTGTGCTCTGGTCTCAAGGGGTACAGAGGGACCAGGAAAGGTGTAGAGGGTGCCAAAGCATGCAGGGAGCTCTGTATGGGACTAACAATGTCTCTGGGTCCAAAAAGCCCGCAGACAAATCTGCAGGAAGAAATTGCATAGAAGGCTTTTAAATCCCAGGGACTGCACCTGGAAACTGCTGGGCTGCAGATCATTGGATACTTAGAAAGTATTCTTGGAAAATACCTCGTGTTCTTGCTTGGCTTATGATGTTCTTCCTTTGCAGTGTGACTGCTCTTAGGACATTTTGCTGCTCTTTCTGTATGGCCCCAGGGATCTCTAGAGCTGCAGTTACTTCTTAGACCTGTTTGATCCACGTGTGTGCTCCCATAGCACCACTGACAGTGTCTTGGAGCAGGCTGGGGGCATGGGAAGACACCCTCACAGGCCAGTGGGCAAAGGGCAGCTGCACGGTCCCCTGCATTCCCTGGCAGAAGCTTTACCCCTCCTGCTCGCTGTCATCCCAGTTTACTGTCACCCATAAGCAGGGATACAGTATTCATTGTCATGCCATAATCAGGGATAAAATGTGTAAGGACAGAGATTCCCCTTGCTGCTTCTAGCCACTGAATCACAAGTAATGTTCAGAAATTACTCACGCTTTGTTCTCTCCCTAACGTAGCTTTTTATAGCGTACTCCATACAGCTGATGTAAATCAAGGCATGCTCTGCTTGTGTGTTAATCCCTGAATGCCAGGGAAATCCTCAGCTGTCTCACTTACCCGTCTCCTGCCACCAGCGAGGTGCTTTATCAACCCACAACCATGGGAGAAATCAGCAGGCACTGCTGCTTGGAGCAGTTGCAAGTTCTTCATTCAAGAATGCTTCCCATAGTGGAAACCCTCCCGTTGTTTCCCTGGCTTCTCCAGTAGCAAAGCTTCACCATAGGAGGAGATCACACAGCTTGTTTGCAGAGCAGCACGGCTTGTTTTGAAAAGCCTGACCCTGCATTTTCCCCACCAGCTAGAGGCAATGCCCCCTGCTAAGGCAGGGCATGTGACACGTCCAAGACCTCGAACATCTGCACTTGTTCTTGCCCTTTTTTCCTGCTTTTCCCTCAAAGAAAATCCCAAGGAGACCCTACAAAGGAGGAAATGGCATTCCTTTGGGGAGGCGAGTCAGGGCCCTTCTTTTCCAGCATGTACCAATTTGTTTTTCTTCATGTATGTACATTATTATGGTATCCAAAAAGGGGACAACACACCCAGTTTTAAATTTGCTCCTGTCTCAATTTGACTTTGTTTCCAAAGCCATTCAAAGGAGCTTTATTGTAAGCAAGGTACTTGTGTGTGGGGGTTATTCTATATTATTCATCTTCATGCTGTTGAACTGCACGTGCTTTTGGAGGATAAAGTTAAACATTTACCCTGGGTCAACCACCCCTGGATGCAGAGTTTATGTTTTGCTGGAGTTTGGGCAAACAAAGTGGCATTTGCTACATTCCTTGCCTGCCTCTGCTATTAGACAATGCACTCACCAATGCCTTTATTTGGTTTTGCATCCTCAGAATAGTTTCAATCAATCAGTTGTGAGGACTTCCCTAGCCTGGAGAGATGGTGAATCCACGTGTGGCATTGTATTTGGGACTGGGTTATTGTGGTTCCTAGACAGGAAACTACGTGCAGCAGGACCTGAGGACTGTTCTTGGGAGCTGTCATCACTGAGGGCCAGGGGGTTTTGGATGTCCTTATTGTGGTTTTGGATGTCCTGAAATCACGCTCATCCCAATAATCCAGGTGGCTGGTCTTGCTGGTCAGGGGGAATGGGAAGAGCTAAGCAGCACACTTCATGTACTTCCCAGAGGCAGGCAGAGAGCACTTCAGCAATGGGGATGGAGTCTGTTCAAATTGTTTGGCATCCCAGGCGCAACAAAGTCTTCCTGCCAAGCTAAAGTCTGCATACCAAGGAAGTGCTCTAGCCAGCCAGCCTCAGCCAGCGTGCTATGGCTCTTCCGAGGACTCAGTCTGGCCTGTGGGAAAACAAGGTCTCTCCCACATGCTTTTCATGTATTCTCCTCAGAAAAAGGCCACTCTGTAATACAGCCCCTGAGGATACTGCAGGCTGCCCAGGACATCTCCCTCGGGGTGTTTGGGAGCACCTTTATTCAAGCTTCTCTCAAACACACAAAGATCAATCTCACCTCCTTCCTGCCCTGGTCCCTTTCATCTTTCTCCCTCTGCCTCCCACTATGGCTTTCAGGCATCAGCCTTCCAACTACTTCAAAGCAGTCACGAGAGATGAGCTGATTGATGCTCTCATTCAAAGCCTACAGAGGTTTCTGGTAGCTGTCCCAAGAACAGGGGGTAAACAGTGGCCAGACCCAGGGAAGCTCCTGAAAGCTGCAGATGACCTTGCTGGCCTTACAAAGAAGGAGACAGCGGCAGAAGGACTGAGGGAAACAGAGGTGGCACTGTGGGTGTTCGCTGCGCTCCTGCTGCACGCAGCTGGTATGTGTGCCCGAGGGCTACTCTAACCTGTGCCGAAATGGCATGTATCAGATGAAACAGCGCTTTGAAAGCCGCCTTCTCCTCCCCTAGCAAAGAAACTCAGCTCTGATTTCTTTCAGACTTTGTGTTGACCTTCCTCAGGTGTGGAAAACCTTCTCTTCTGTTTCTTACGGGCTTTTTCCACCCTCTGGAACCAATGTCACTGGAGCTCTTTTGTGCCAGCAGCATAATGTGTGTTGATGTGACTGTATGAGTGACAGAGAAAACACCCACCAGATGGGTTTATTATCATCATAGATTATCAAAAGTTAAGGGTATAGCAATTACTTCTTTATGTCATGGGCTTTGCTCTCTCGGAAGTATTTGTTACATATAGTCTATTATACTTGTACTTCATGGTAGTACGTAACAATACCTAACATATGCAGTAAAACAGATAGATGCTGTGTAGCAATGTAAGGTGGATTCCACTTTTTTCCTTCCCCAAAACCAAAAATCACAAGGCAGAAGCTGTCATTAATACTTTCATTTCTGGCTGAGATGAGCAGCGCTGTGCAGCAAGCGGTTAAATCTGACTTTCTCCAAGATCACAGCTGTTGCTATCTAGAGGTTTGATGTTATTACAGGGGCCACCATGAAGTTCAGAGCTAGCTCCAGATGTGGATGTCCTCAGGGCCAGGGTACATTTATATTTTGGAGGTCAAAGCAGAAAGAAGTAGGATACAGTTTGAATGCCAGGATCTCCTCTGAGGAACAGAAAATCATCCTGAGTTTGTAATGTTGGGTGAGTCGAATACATACAGAAGTCACAGAGGGATGAAAATAGTGATTTGCTATGGTATTGCCTGGTTTTGTGAGACCTGCATTGTAAGTCAGTGATGGGGGTGTCACACAATGGAAGTTGCCTGAAACCTGGGTATCCTTAACCAGCTGTCTAGGTCTTCTCCACACTCAATGGAGCATGGGAATTTCATGTCATCTGCCTCAGATGCACCTTTTAGAAGGTGGTGGGGGGGGGTGGGGGGTGGGGGGTGACCTTCCATATTTGTCTATTGACTATGGAAAAAGCAAGAATTAGACATTAAATTTCTAGGTGGCAACAGTCAGCTTACAGAGATCCCATCCTAAGTGTCTATCCCACTGATCTGCAGCAAGACCGTGGTAAAAGTTAACACTAGGAATGGATGAACAGCAGGAAAAAGGCATTGTAAGCCTGTCCTTGGATAGATCTTGATATCAACTTCACTCAACAAAGCAGGACCTTTTCTAAGGGAAAGAGCTCAAATTAAGTCCTGTGCTCTGTTTGCTTGGTGCTCCAATGTAGAGGGGAAGGACCTGATTCCCTTACAGCATCAAGATCTTTCCATTCCCTTCACTGAGGCTGGAATTTCAAATACCCACCTGCCATGGTTTAACCCCAGACAACAACTAAGGCTCTTCCACTCCCCTGCAGTGGCACGGGGAACAGAATTGGAAGGGTAAAATTGAGAAAACTCATAGTTTGAGATAAAGGCAGTTTAATAGGAAAAGCAAAAGCTGCACACACAAGCAAAGCCAAACAAGGAATTCATTCCCTATTTCCCATCAGCAAGCCGGTATTCAGCCATCTCCAGGACTGGGAGATGAGACAGGAGAAATGGTGTGTCGCATGGAGCTATTGGGCATCTAAGTCAGCTCAGGTCGAGTCACTGCTGGACTTGCACTGCTTCTCAGAAGACTTGTCCTTCACTGATTTTAGTGGCTCCTGCCATAGTAATTCCTGTAACATGCAACTCAAATCAAGATTCCAGCAATTTAAAGGTATTTCCATTACAGTCTTCACCCCTGGTCCCTTTGCACCAGAGCATAGGGTTTAACATTGCAATTAACTCCTCCCCTTGCCTCCGCTCCAGCTTGGACTTCCTCACCGACTGCAGTCCCTTAGGGCTGTACCTGCTCCAAATGGAACCTCATCTATGAACCATGGTCTCTCCAGGGGTGTACCTGCTGTGGCACAGACCCATTCACTGCCACAGTCCTTTCAGAAGTAGACCTGCTCAAAACATGGCTTTACCCATGGCCCTTCAGGGCTATACCTGCTCTGTCATGGGCTTATCCATTGCCACATGCTTTAAGATGCTCCAGCATGACCTCATGCACAGCCACTGATGCTTCAGAGTGTACCTGCTGCAGCATGGGCTTATCCATGGCCACTGATACTTTAAGGTGTGCCTTCTCCACCATGGACTTGGGCCACAATCCCTTCAGAGGTATACCTGCTACAGCAGATATAGCCACAGCCTTTGAGATGTACCTGCTCTAGCATGTCTTATCCACTGACACTGATGCTTTCGTGGTGTCCTGGTCCCGCATGGACTCATCCTCAGGTCACAGTCCCATCAACTTGAGTTCACACTGGACTTCCAGCCTACCCAGTACAGCAGCACAGAAGCAGCAGCAAGGCCACAGCTGTCTGCCAGCCCAGGCACATCACCACTGCTGTTATCAAAACGCCACCATGCACAGCAGAGTAAGGTGATAAGCAGCACTGCACTACAGGAAGCAGTGGAAGTGAAACCAGTGAGCTCCAGACTCTGACAGACAGCAAGGCAAGCAAGTCCCATGGCTTTCAACTAACAGCTAAACAACAACAACAGCTACAAATTCAATCTACAACATTCCAATCAAATCTGCTGTGATCTTGAACCCTTCATGCCCCCCACTGAGCACCAAAATGGACTGTCATGTTTCAACCCCAGCCAGCAGCTAAGCCACACACAGTTTTTCTTCCACTCCCCTGCGCTGGGATGGGGAATAGAATCAGAAAGGTAAAAATGAGAGAATTCATGGGTTGAGATAAAGGCAGTTTAATAGGTAAAGCAAAAGCTGCCCACACAAGCAAAGCCGAATGAGGAATTAATTCACCACTTTTCATGAGCAGGGAGGTGTTCAGCCACCTCCAGGACAGTAGGGCTTCATCAGGCACAATGGCTACCTGGGAAAACAAACACCATCACTCCCAATATTCCTCTTTTCCTTCTTCCCTCGGCTTTACTGCTGAGCATGATGTCATGCAGCATGGGATATCCCTTGGGGTAGTCAGGATCAGCTGTCCTGGCTGTGTCCCCTCCCAGGTCCTTGTGCACACCCAGCCTACTCATTGGTGAGGAGCAGAACAGCCCTTGATGCTGTGTAAGCATGGCTCAGCGGTAACTATATCACCTCTGCACTATCAACAAATCCAAAAATAGCCCCATGCTAGATACTATGAGGAAAATTAACTCTATCCCACCCAAACCAGCACACCACCACCAAAAAATGGTATCAAGCAGAACTGGACTGGAAATCCCAGGACCTCTCCTTCCTGTGCCAGTGGTGAAAACTGTGTTGGCTGTCTCTTCACTGAGAATGAAAGGAATGTTAACATTTTATTTAAAAGGAACTGGATTTGGTTTGTTGTTGCCTGTTTATGACCCCTGATTTAGAATCGTAGAATCACAGAATAGTTAGGGTTGGAAAGGACCTGAAGATCATCTAGTTCCAACACCCCTGCCATGGGCAGGGACACCTCACATTAAACCATGCCACCCAAGGCTCTGTCCAACCTGGCCTTGAACACTGCCAGGGATGGAGCATTCACAACTTCCCTGGGCAACCCATTCCAGTGCCTCACCACCCTCACAGTAAAGAACTTCTTCCTTATATCCAATCTAAACTTCCCCTGTTTAAGTTTTAACCCATTACCCCTTGTCCTGTCACTACAGTCCCTAATGAAGAGTCCCTCCCCAGCATCCCTATAGCCCCCTTCAGATACTGGAAGGCTGCTATGAGGTCTCCACGCAGCCTTCTCTTCTCCAGGCTGAACAGCCCCAACTTCCTCAGCCTGTCTTCATACAGGAGGTGCTCCAGTCCCCTGATCATCCTCGTGGCCTCCTCTGGACTTGTTCCAACAGTTCCATGTCCTTTTTATGTTGAGGACACCAGAACTGCACACAATGCTCCAGGTGAGGTCTCACAAGCGCAGAGTAGAGGGCACTCTAATCCTGTGCAGGTAAAAGCCAAAAACATCCTTCAAGTCACAATAGGGAAAGTCAAACCCCTAATTTGGAAGCACCAGCAGGGTGGACATTGGAAACATGCAGACTCACTCACTGGAGAGCTCCCAAGACCGACAACCGCTGAAATGAAAACATAACATGACATAACAGATCAGTCAATGGTTGCTACTGAATAAGTCAGAGGGCTTCACAGTTAATCACTGCAGCCATCCGTGAACTCTCACAGGGTGCGGACAAACAATCAGCTTTGCCTTTGGGATGATGTCCATTCGATGGTGGGAGGCCCACATGCTCTGATTTCTTCTTGGCAAAAGCCTTGTTATCTGAGGATGTGTTAAGAGAAGAAGGATAACTGTTTGGATCACTGCTAAAATCAGAAAATCAAGAGGGGAAAAGGAGGGAGGGAAATTGGGAATCTGAATTCTCACAGTGTCATTGACCAGGAGGCTTGATGCGAGCATCCCTACATCAAGGTGTAACTCATGAAAGGTTGGCTGTCACCAGCCTTAGCCCAGGTTGAAAACCATGCAGTGGGATCCACGCCTCCGGAGGTGTGTGTTCCTGCAGGTCTCCTGGCTGTGCTCACGGCACTGCTCTCATCAAAGTCATCCCTGCAAGGACACGGGGAGATCCCCCAAAAGAGAAGGAGCCTACTATTGATTCACACGGTGGAAGAGGCTCTGTTTTATCTCTTGTGCTGATGTCGTACATGTGCTGCTATGAACGAGTTCTCCTATTTAGCATGTTTGGACTTCCCTGAATCTCTCCCCTTGCTTTTCAGTTTGGGTATGGAAACAGCATTTCTGGCCAGCGGTTTTAGAATCTTTTGTTAACTGTAGCATAGAATAAAGACTGCCATATTTTTGTATTTATTTTATATTTTTCTGTTGTACTTTCCCTTCCCCTTTTTCTCTTCCCCTTTTCACAGGTAAATGGAAAGAAAAAAGGGTGAGGTGGGTAGAGAACAGCAGGGAAGAACACAAGGGAAAAAAAATGAAGCACGATGTTTTGAGGAACAGTCTCAAACTAAGAATGAAAAATCCATTTTAGAAACGCTTCCGATGGGGAAAGAAACAATTATTTTGGAGGGTTAATTCTTTATTATTCACAAGAAAAAAGCAATCAAAACTGATTTTAAAAGAACCACATAGCTTTTTGTTGCTTTTGAGGTTGGTGGAACTGAATGTCTTGACAGAGTTTGCAGATACTTGCTTTCCTGTTTAGTTTAGTCTGTTTCCTGTCTCTGATTACCCTAATTTGGTGGAATATTCATTCCCAGACTTCCACAAAGCAAATGTTCCTCAGAGGGAAAGTTATCGAGAGAAAAGCATTTAAAAACAATAAGAATATGCCTCGTATCTCAAGTCAAATTTTGGTGCTAGGGCAAGCTGGGGGTCAAGACTTTGCATTGAGCTCTGGGGTAGGTGGTGGGGGATGCAGTTGCTTGTCGATGGTGTAGTTACTTATTTAGACAGAGATGATTCCCAGGAGCTCTGGCCATGGTGTAGGGATCATCAGGTCTGTCCATGAGGCTGGAAAGCAAAAAAGAGTCTTATTAAATCGGGATTATGGCCCCATCATGCCCTGCCAGTCTCTTTAGCCTGGTCTACTCCAAAAGCAGATGTGTGGCTGGATGTTTTCACAGTGTCGTCTGCTAGGCTGTGCCTCGCCGGTGCCAAGGGGAGGAACTGAAATGAATCTCCTTCTAAAAGCCAAACATCGGCAAAGCTTGGGCAGTGGGCTCTGTACAACCACGGCAGGGCTGTACCTTCACGGCGCTTGTGGATTTGAAAGCTCCAGGTGCCCCTGTCAGACCCTTGTACCATCAGAGACATCGTCTGCTCCTCAGACAACCTGCTCCTGACAACCAGACAACCAGGTTCAGGCTGGTTCCTCAAGGAAGCATGCTCAGAGCCCATGCTTCCATGCTGCCTGCCACCCATGAGCCTGTGGGATGGATGGTTGGACTGTGGGGACCCGGAGCACAGCCACAACCTGTCCTAGAGCAGAGGGTGGCTCCTGCCTCTCTGAGGGGTTCCTGGAGAGAGGAGGGGGACACTGAGAGGATGTGTGTGATCTGTGGGGACACTGTGGGCATGTCTGTGAGGCATGGGGACACTCAAGGGGACACTGAGGGGACATGTGCAAACCATGGGGACACTGCGGGGGATGCTGAGAAGAGATGAGTGAGCTGTGGGAATGTTCATACAGGGCCAGGTGTGTGAACCAAGGAGACACTGAAGGGGTGTGTATGAACCATGGTGAGACTGAGGGGACATGTATGATCTGTGGGGACATTAAGGAGACATGTGTGAGCTATGGGGACACTGGGCAGGACACTGAGAAGAGATATGTGTGCTCTGGGGACACTGACAGAGACATCTGTGAACCATGGGGACATTAAGGGGACATGTGTGACCTGTGGAGATACTCTGATGAGGATGTGTGTGAACCATGGGGACACTGAGGGGACATGTGTGAGCTGTGGGGACACAGAGGGGGGACACAAACACAGATGTGTGTGAACATGGGGACACCGAGGGGACATGTGCGACCTGTGGGGACACTGACGGGGATGTGTGTGAACCATGGGGACACCAAGGGGACATGTGTGAGCTGTGGGGACACTGACGGGGATGTGTGTGAACCATGGGGACACCGAGGGGACATGTGTGAGCTGTGGGGACATGGAGGGGACAATGATGGGGATGTGTGTGAACCATGGGGACACCGAGGGGACATGTGTGAGCTGTGGGGACATGGAGGGGACAATGATGGGGATGTGTGTGAACCATGGGGACACCGAGGGGACACGTGTGAGCTGTGGGGACACAAACACGGATGTGTGTGAACATAGGGACATCGAGGGGACATGTGTGAGCTGTGGGGACACAAACACGGATGTGTGTGAACCATGGGGACACTGAGGGGACATGTGTGAGCTGTGGGGACATGGAGGGGACAATGATGGGGATGTGTGTGAACCATGGGGACACTGAGGGGACATTTGTGAGCTGTGGGGACACAAACACGGATGTGTATGAACCATGGGGACACCGAGGGGACATGTGTGAGCTGTGGGGGCACTGAGGGGACAATGATGGGGATGTGTGTGAACCATGGGGACACCGAGGGGACATGTGTGAGCTGTGGGGACACTGATGGGGACACTGATGGGGATGTGTGAGCTGTGGGGACACAGAGGGGGGCCACAAACACGGATGTGTGTGAACCACGGGGACATCAAGGGGACATGTGCGACCTGTGGGGACACGGAGGGGGACACAAACACGGATGTGTGTGAACATGGGGACACCGAGGGGACATGTGTGAGCTGTGGGGACACAAACACGGATGTGTGTGAACATGGGGACATCGAGGGGACATGTGTGAGCTGTGGGGTCACTGACGGGACATGTGTGAGCTGTGGGGTCACTGATGGGGACACTGATGGGGATGTGTGTGAACCATGGAGACACTGAGGGGACATGTGTGAGCTGTGGGGACACAGAGGGGGGACACAAACACAGATGTGTGTGAACATGGGGACACCGAGAGGACATGTGTGAGCTGTGGGGACACTGATGGGGATGTGTGTGAACCATGGAGACACTGAGGGGACATGTGTGAGCTGTGGGGACACAGAGGGGGGACACAAACATGGATGTGTGTGAGCATGGGGACACCGAGGGGACATGTGCGACCTGTGGGGTCACTGACGGGACATGTGTGAGCTGTGGGGGCACTGACGGGACATGTGTGAGCTGTGGGGTCACTGACGGGACATGTGTGAGCTGTGGGGGCACTGACGGGACATGTGGGAGCTGTGGGGGCACTGAGGGGACATGTGGGAGCTGTGGGGGCACTGAGGGGACAATGATGGGGATGTGTGTGAACCATGGGGACACCGAGGGGACACGTGTGAGCTGTGGGGTCACTGACGGGACATGTGTGAGCTGTGGGGGCACGGAGGGGACTCGCATGCTCGATCCACGGCGACGCCTTTGGGGACCCTGAGGAGACCCCGGAGCGCACACGTGCGAGGTTGGCGCGGACACTGCGAGGGTCACGTGTGACCCGGCGCGGGTGGGCGGGGCCGCAGGGCGGGGCGGGGCGTGTCGGGGCGGGGCGCGGCGGCGGGGTCCGCGCTGTCAGTCTGGGCGCTGCCGCTCGGCAGCATGGAGGCAGCGCGGGACGGGAAGGCGGGCAGCGGCTCCAACGGCCATGCCGAGGGCCCGGCGGCGGAGCGCGGCCCGGGGCGCCTGCGGGGCTGCCGCGGCTTCCTGCGCCGCAACGCGCTGGTGCTGCTCACCGTGTCCGGCGTGGCGGCCGGCGTGGCGCTGGGGACCGCGGTGCGCGGAGCGGGGCTGAGCCCGGCGCAGGTGGCCTACCTGGCCTTCCCCGGGGAGCTGCTGCTGCGGATGCTGCGCATGGTGATCCTGCCGCTCGTGGTCTGCAGCCTGGTGTCGGGAGCCGCCAGCCTGGACACCCGCTCGCTCGGCCGCCTGGGAGGCATCGCCGTCGCTTATTTCCTAGGGACCACGCTGCTGGCGTCCGGCCTCGCCGTCGCGCTCGGCTTCATCATCCGTCCCGGCGCCGGAGCCGCCGGCCTTAACGCCCCCAGCCTGACGGGCGCCGTGCCCACCAGCAAGGAGACGGTGGACTCCTTCCTCGACCTCATCAGGTGAGGCCGCCGCGCTCCCCTTCCCCCGCCTTCCCCGCCGGAGGATGATGACAGACCCGGCAGTATTGCATGCTGCTGCCGCGGAACACCCCCCCGTTCCCCCTCCTCCCCTCCCTCCTCCGCCTGGCTTTCCCAGCGGCGCCGCTTGCTGCCCGGGTACCCGGTCAGGTTTAGGGCCGCGTGGTGCTGAACCTCTCCCTCCTTCAGGCTTAATTGTGGCTCGAGGATGAGCCGGGGCTTGCTCGGAGATCTGGGTGCCGGGACCCGTCTTTAGTCACGCCTGGAGGGAGAGGGGCTCCTGGGTGCTCGTTGCAGGACAGGCATGGCTCGCTTGGCACCTTCTCCTGTCCCGCTGCCTGGCCTTGCCCGTGTCCCGCAGGCAGGGAAGGGCAGGGCAGCTCTCCACATCCCTCTTTCTTTTATTCCCCCATGCTTCACTTAGTCTTCATACACAAATCATAGAATGGTTTGGGTTGGAAGGGACTTTAAAGCTCATCCAGTTCCAGCCCCCTGTCCCAGGCAGGGACACCTTCCGCTAGAGCAGGTTGCTCCAAGCCCTGTCCAACGTGGCCATCCAGGGATGGGGCATGCCAGCCTGCCTCTTACAGCACCCTCTCCATTGGTGCGGGCATGGAAATGTAGCCCCATGTTTCCATCATATCCAAACATAGTCCTGGTATGAGGACACGATGTTAGTGAACTTCATTCCACCTCTGCACCTTGTAAAAAATCACCCAAACTACCTAGAAGCAAGGCTTCCACTCATAACCAGGTTGCAGTCTTGGTTTATCCTTATTGCTCCTTGCAAAGCTGCAGACTTCACCATTGTTTTTTCTCAGAGCTGAGTTCTGTCCAGCTCTTTAAATAAGAGAGGAACACTTACATAAATGAGGCAAACATCCAGCCAGCTTTTTCAGTGCCGGACTTCCAGTTGCAGACTCTTGTGCTTTGATGAATCTTGGTGCAGAGCCCCAGATGTGAACAGCTGATGTGGTGTTGTTATCCCATGTCTGGCTCTGCTGCTTGTTCACATCCAAGCAGTGTTGAGCAGTCATGGAAAAGTGTATTGCAGGTGCCTGAGAAAAGCAGTGGAATAAAAGAAGACCGGGTCTCTCCCAGTGAGTGTAGCTGAGGGGGTGATGGGAAGTGATAGCCATCAATAGAGAGCATGGAGGTTTGCTGAAACATAGGAAGATGAGCAGCTTTGGAGGTAGTGAATGTTGCTATGAAGATGCAAACAGAAGAGCAAAGGGAGGTGACCTGCATACGAGCAAAGTGGCTGGACAGTTGTGCTTAGCAAATATCTTGGTAATTACAAAGCTGTAACCCTAACTGTGTTTACAAATCCATGGTAATGCCCTTTTCTTTCCCAGAGAGAAGTGTATTCCCTTTGCATAGAAAGCAAGCTCTGCTTTGTCCCATTGGCAACCACATGCTTCATGTCCTCAGCTCACCTCTTGTTCCTGACAGAGCACGCTGAGAAGTATAACAGGGCAGTGGGAGTAGGTAGGCTGGCAGTGGAGGTGACTTGGAGTTGAATGGAAATGTAGGGAGGTGAAGGAAGATTGCAAAAGAAAGGAATCAGCACAACCGGGATAGTTGGGAAGACGACTGCAGCAGCGGCTGCATCGGGTGCATCCTGGCGTGGCTGCTGTAGCTGGTGTTTCAGTGCTTTGTTGCCATGCAGCACAGAGTAGGATGTAGCTGAGAAAACAAGGCAGGGATGCTCCAGTGAGCTTCAGGCTGTGGGTAACATCTGTGAAGTTGGGAGCAGAAAGCGGCATCTTGCTCTGGCCTGTAAATGCAGGTGGAGAGTTCATCTTGAAGGGGTTATAATGGTGGTGGGATTGAGTCCTTAACTCCAAAGTAATGCTCATAATGATGAAACTTGAGTTAAGCATGTGGGTTGCAGAGGGATTTCCTTCTGGGAAATGAAGGGCCAGGAGCTTTCCCCCAGTGCATGTACAGTGGACTGTGAATTCCTTTTCCTTGGAGCGCCAGGGAAGGGCTGTTGCAGCCACATTGTTGGGCAGTCCAGGTGTCACAGCAGCAACAGCGAAATCCAGTCCAGAAAAGATGTGTTTGGACACAACCATCACTGAAAGTCCCAGTCTTAGCACAAATCCCCAACAGCAAGTGATGTGATTTTCTAGAAATAATATCTTTCTCCCTCTGCCTTTTAATTTATTATGACTTTTTTTAACTGTTCTTGAAAATGTGAGTGTGCTGGTTTGAGCACTGATCTCGGTCCCTGCTGTGGTAGAAGGTACCAGAGTAACCTCATCTTCACTTAACCCTTCAGTCTATTGGGCCTGTGGGGCTGAAACCTTTTCTTTCTGTGTGAGTGGGTCTTGCAGCATCCCACTCTTTGCTTTTCCTTTTCTCTCTTTTGGTCATGAAACCAAAAATGCAAAAAAAACTTTGGTTTCAGTTGTGTCCCAAGAGTGGCTGTGCCCTTCAGAGCTTCACTGCTCAGTTTCTGATAATGGGTAAAAATGAGGCACAAATGGGTAAACTGAGTCCGTCTGCAGCACTGAAAGCAGATGTAAAACGTGGACCAAGGAAGAAAGAGCAGAGGCAATCACAGCTGTGAGTCATGGCTCCTTCCGAGATGACACAGGGTGTCCTTTCCCAGGATGCAGATTTCTTCTGCTTTTGGGAAGGGTGTTAGTTAATGACCAAAGACATTGGTTTCCGTTGTCACAGCAGTGTCTGGAGGCCAGCTTAATTCCTGGTTGCGGTTTTCCAGTTTTCCATTTCCACGTCTAAAGCTTCCACATAAACACACACATACGCATGCAGACATGGCCTCTGGAAAAGACATTTGTCTTGGGCTTTGATAGCAAATGAATGATTACTCACTGGTGAACTGAAAAGCTGTCTCTGTTTTGTTTTGTCCATTGACCATAACCTCTGGGTCTAATTTGTCTGATGGAGCACCTTCCTAGCTTCCTTTCTGGCAAGTGCAGGAGGCAAGCCTTGAGTGTGTCTGGCCACTAAACTCCGGGACATGGGGTGGGGACAGTAGAGCTGTCCTGGAGGTGCCTTTGTGCCCCACAGCAGGAGTGGTGACGGCCCATCTCATCTCATCTCATCTTGGGTCTGTCATGTGGGCAGATCTTGGAGCTCCCTAAAAGATGAGCGTGGCCCAAGGCAAGGAGGGGCTGCAGCTTAGTGATCATGGAAGGGATCCAGCAATTCAGAGGTGCTTCCACAAGGCTGGTGACTTAAAAAAGCCAAGATCAACAACAACAAAAGAAGTGGGGTGTGCTCTGAACCCAAAGGGGGACCTTTTATTTCTTAAACTCTGTCCTACATCAGTGAAGAAGGCCAGGCTCTGGAGCACTCTTGCTCCACAGGGTCTTAACTGAAGATGGGCCTCATGAGCATCTCCAGAGCATCTGGCATGAAGAGCAGCTTGGGTGTACCAAATAGGCAAGTGCCAAGCACCAGCAGAAGATGAGGAGAATGGAGGGAAACTGGTTTTGTCCCTTACTCATGTGTTGATGGAGAAGGCAAAACAATGGAGAATAAAGAGTGCTCGCCAGCTTGGCTATGAAGTGGGTAGCAGGTGGAGGAAGATGCTAGGTGTGATACCGTGGGATTTGGGGCTCAGCATCCTTGGGTAGGTGACAGTTTGGCTCTGATCATGTCAGATGTCTAACCAGAGAGAAGCAGGTGAGGAGGAGAGAGATGGTGACAAGGAGGTGCCTCCAGCCACCAGCTAACACAGCCTATATAGTTTGTTGGAAAGCAGTTGAAAACCACCAGGGTCAAGTGTTGTGCAAGAGTCTATTGATTTGTTACTACTTTTGCCGGGCAGTTGTCAAGAGTGCATGTTTTGATAAGGTCAGAGTTTTGATTCAGCTCTGATTTTTTTATTTGCTGATACAACAAAATCAAACAGTTTCACAGAAACCTATTGATCCTGTCAAAGTTTCCAACAGTGGGTGATCCTGGCAATTCATTCCAGTGAGGTCAATGTTTTCCTGTAATTTTGTACAAAAGACTTCAGTAGAAAATCTCAGTCATCAAAAAGGAACAAAATATTTTATAATATATTTTTTTTTAGTGGCTTTCTTTGCCCGATGTTGGGATGAAAACATGTTTTGAAATTGCGGGACTGGCTTTGGGAAGGGAATCCTGTTTCTAATCCAGCCCTAGTTGTAATAGTCTAGGGAGGGAAGGAGGTGGTAGCATCATCTGCTTTTTATAGTAGGGGTACACAGAGGTTCAGGTGTCTGCCCTGAGCAGGGTCAGGGTTCCTCAGCCTGCCAGGCAAGCCTGCAAAAGCAGTTTACATTTTATTGCTCCTCACTGCCCATTCTGTCTCTCTGCCAGCGTTCACCAGCGGTGCTGCCAAAGGGAGTACCCACAGCACCATTACCAAGCCCATGCACTGGCTCTGTGTGCCTTCAGAGCAGGAGGGGAGGCAGGATGAGCTTGAGTGCAAGGAGAAGCATCGGTCGTGTTCCACTGGCTGGGCTGCAGAGCGGGTGGCCAGGGTGGACCGTGGGGTCCAGAGCACTCAGCACCAGTCACTCCGGTAGCACTTGTTTCTCATAGCCTTGGCCTTCCTGGTGAGTCACTCAAAAGCAGGAAGCATGAAGGCTCTGGAATCCCAATGTGGAAAGAGAGCAAAGCTTGAGGAGAGGAGCAGGAGATGGCACCTTTGTAGTGATAAATAGAGCAAGAAGTGGCTGGGGAACAGCTGCAGTTACACCACAGCACATCCCCGAGATAGGCTTACCACTGGGTTTGCAGCTGTATCTTAACTCTGGGTACCCTCAGAAAAAAAGGAAGTAGTAAATGTTACTGTCCACTTTGTGTCATTTTCTGAGTCTGGATCCTCTCTTGAAGTATAGGGCGTCCTGACTGGGTTTTCTAGGAAGAACTCTGCTTTCTCATTCATGTGCCGGCACTGTCTGATGGGGTTTTTAATAAGCCTCTGAACATTTCTGCTCTTTCCTTTTGTTCTTTATATTCCCTGCCTTTTACTACTGACTCCCCCTAGTTACGGTTTATTTTACAAGCAACGAAGATACAGACTGCACCATTAAGACAAAAAAGGATTAAATGATCTGCTCTAAGTAAATACATTTTCATGTTTCTCTGTGTTAAAGCAGATGCACGCACTCATGTATCTGTGCAGGACATGCATCGTGCACTCACGTACATGTGAAACAGCAGATGAGAAGGACTGGTGTGTGATACTGAATGAAAATCTTGGGACAGGAAAACACTAAAAGTACTGGAGCAATCCAGGCTGAGCTCTGGCAGGTTGCCACCGATGGCAGTGAAGTTGCTGTCAGTGGACTCCTACCACTGAAAACACTTCATTGAGACAGGAATAGGAGATAACGCAACAGTTTTTTCTAGGCTTCCTCACAAAAGTGTGTTTTCCTGCAGCAAGGGTTTTGGCCTCAGAAATGGAACGTTTTTGTAAGAGGCAATGCAAGAGGAATGCGTAGTATTTTAGGGTTTTGTTCTGCTTGCCTGGATTTCCCTTCATGCTTTTGCTGCCAGAGCAAAGTTGTTTGCAGAGCTCTAGCAAAAGAATTGCTTAGAAACAGTTATTAATGATAATCCCTTACACATGCAATGAAGGAGTTCCGGTGCCATCCTTATCCTGCTGGTGGGAAGCTACCGGGGTAAAGAAGAGAGGAATTTGACCATAATAGCAAAATTGAGAAGGAAGGGACCTGAAGCCCCTTTTTGCTTCTGTTAGATCTTGAGGTTTCCGTAGGCATCTGGAATTCACAGCAGTGGATGTTACAGCAAAAATACAGTGAGACTTCCCTGCTAAATTAGGGGAGTGATGGTCCCTTTTTGACTGGTAGGAAAAGCTTTTCACTGGAGGAGAGGAAAAAGCTGCATTTATCCAGATGTGCATGGGGAGATGGTATGACAAGCACAACACTCGAGCAGGAGGTATTGAGACCCTGAAACTCCTGTGACTTTCTGGTTCCTGTTTTAAGAGGATGTGAGATAGGTGGTTTCTCACACTGTTTCGCAGGTACATGAAGGTTTCCTGGCTCAGGCCAGCTGCCAGTTGAGCCCCAGGACACAGATGTCACCCTTGACGGCTCTCTGATGGGTTTGATTTTGGTGGGGGTGGGCTCTCTGTATAAATAGCAGAAGGCAGAGACTTTCCTGCCTGGTGCTTAATAGGGGGGTACAGTCCCTCTGTAGCACTTACTTTGCCTTTCCACCACAAAGGCAGTTTGGTCCGTAGGTGGTTGATCCATCCCTCTCCATGGAGGAGATCCTGGCAGCAGTGAATCACTGGGGTGCATGCAGCCCATCTGTCCCTCTGCTGTAACGTCATGCGTCGCTGGCTCATCTCATTCTTTCCATGTACAGCATGTTTTGTCTGTTTGCATCACGGGGCCAAGGCTGCCTGATCCCAGACTCCTGTGCTGGGCTCCTTATCACCCAGACTCAGGGTTTCCCCAGTGGTGTGCTCTTGAGATAGGTCACATCTGCTTCAAAAAGGTGATTGTGTTCTGCGGCCCATGGCACGGCAGCAGCAGGGATGGGGCTGTTAGAAACAGCAGCAACAGTCAGCAGTCCAGTGATACAACCATGGTGATTTTCATAAGCTCCATGTTCACATCTGGTACAAGCTTTCAAAGCAAAAAAAACCCTTCCTCAACATTTGCAAAACCAGCTGGCAGACACCCACATTTAATTTGCATGCCCAATTACCCAGCTCATCAGCTTTCCTGTGTGCCGCTTCACCCGGACAGGAGGGATGTTCACACATCCCCATGCTTGGGCTGCTTGGGCTTGGGGACACAGTGGATGGCGAACGCCAGCTCGCAGGGACAGAGCTGGGTCTGGGTTTCTGCAGCGGGTGAACTTTGCCTCGCTGCGCGTGATGAGCAGTGCCTGCAGGCACGAGCACATGATGAGCCCAGGCAGGTCACCAGCCTGCTTTTGCCTCTCCCTGCAGCACACAGCATCCTGACCCATTGTTCTTTGTAGGTGCCGCTGGGGTGTTGTTGCATGAATCTATCTTAAGGTGAAATCCTGTGGTCTGACCCACCTGTAATTAAAGCTTAATTTAATTTGCATGCTGACTGATCTTAGGTGAGCAATGAGTGTAGTCTGTGCAGAACTCATGCCCCTGAGACAAGCCATTTATTTCTTGGTTGCTTTTTATGAGCTGATGCATTTTGTTCTCTAACTCCAGGATTTGAAGCAGAGAGGAACAAATCATTACTTTATGTATTGTTGGGACTTTGCAGGCAGGTGTACCTAGAAGTTGGGTTGAACAAAACAGAGCTCCCTCTGAGCTGCTGAACTAAGATCCATATATTTTACTTGTTGGATTGTCAGAAAGGCTCTTTGCTGTCCTCAGAGTCGAGTCCTGTGACCAGTGCTCCAGGGACAAAGAGTAGTGAGTGCTATACGCTTGTATTTGAATAGCTTTAGTGCTATTCACACTTGAAGCAAGAACCTGCCCCTTGTCTTGCCGTAGCAGGGCTGTTGGCATCACTCAAGTATGTGCATTAAGTATATGCTTGGAGTTAAGGTTGTGTTTAATTACTGAGACCCATGACTGACAGACTGTAAATTATGGAGGGTTTGGTTTCTTGGCCACATTCAAGCGTTGGAGAACCATATTATTTAGGCTTTAGGATTGCTTCCTTTGGCTTTGTTTTGTCAGGACAGAAAAGCTGATTTAAAGAAAAAAATAAAGTGATTTGATTCCTGGTTGTGTTTCAGTCTTTTTTCATCTCTTTGCTTCTTCAAAACCCAGTCAATTCTTTCCTCTTATAAAGCAATCATCCTGCTGTGAAAAGTAGAGGGAAAAAAATATCCTCATTATCCCAATGGCATGTTTTCCTTCTTTTGGTTAGAACTGTGCATTGAGCTGGGCCCATTTCTGTATGTGATATTTTACTCCTGATAAAAGTAAGTTTGCTTTTATTTTACATGAGGTTTTTACCAGGTGGCTCCAGCTGTGCAAGTATTGATGCACGATAGCGGCTCCGTTGCTCTTATGTGACCAGTTCTTAGTGTCTTTGCAGCGTTAGAGCTCACTCTCTCACTTTCAGACAGACAGCTATTTTCCCAAATTTTAATGGGAAAAAGTTGCTGTTGCTTTCATGCTCAGTGGAACATGGGCCCCAGAAGCCAAGTTATTCTTACGGCAGTTTGGCTTTTGCAACTGCGTCCCAATACACTTGTAATGCTACAGATTGAGGCTGAGGTAATTCCCAGCAGCCACTTGCTTGATGAAGGTCTATGTACTTTACCTTGCTGTCAAGGCTGTGGGAAAACCCACACTGTATAGCAGGATAATGGAGTTATGCCATGAAAAAGACCCAAGTCCTTCTCTGTGCCATATCTTAATCTCCCTCTTGCTTTCAACGACTGGACTCTGCTGCTCTGTTCCTTGCTGCTGTCTGGATTTGCACTTTCCATGTCATTCATGGGCTGATCACAACCAAAAGCCTGGTTTAATATTGGGTTTGTCAGAGTAACTGTGGCAAAAACCAGGGGGAGGTTGGCAGGGCACAGCCTGCAGGTAGCTGCAGCTTCCTCGGAGCAGCACAAGGAGCAAAGGATGGGAAGAAGCTACCCCACTGTTTACTGCTCTGGGGAATGTCTTTTGTTTTCATGAGTTCTCACACCTCCTTGATGCATTTGGCTGGGAGTATATTCAGTCCATACCCCTAACCTTCCTGCTCCTGCCAGCAGGGTCCTGCTGTGACCCCAGAGATCAGCTTTTACTCCTATTTGCTTTTAGTCACAGCAAAAAAGGCTGCCATTTGGGCTAGGGGAGCACAAGCTCTTTGCCTCATATAAGGGAGGAAAGGAAGCATAGCCTTAAACCAACTATAAAGTACATCAAGAAACAACTTTTTTTCTTACATGGTGCAGTTAACCATTTTTCCTGTCCTTGTTGCTTTGCAGATGCATGTAACACTGGAGGCCCAGTGGAAATGTACATCACTTTGCATGCTGTCTCCTCCACACAAGCCTGATGCTCGATTTGCATTTCTGTATGAAGGCATTACCAAATCCAGATGTTGCAGCTTTCCATATGAGCTGCCCTGCATTCATCTGTTCTGTTTAAGCCCTTGCAGAAAACTGTGGCCCATGTATGTCAGTGCTGAGGGAAGCTGACCTTGTTGTATTGAGGTGTTGAGCTGTTCTAAGTGGATTTTGCGGACTGGCTTGTCCTTCGTGTTGATGCGGTGAGCAGAGTGTAATCACATGAGTAATGTTAAAAGTCTGCCTGACCCTGGAGCTGTTGCTGCAGCTGGTGTGGCTAAGCCAGCTTCAGTAACCACTGGCTGATGTATAGCTAGCATCGTGTCTGATTGCCCCTGGTGTCTCTACCCACATGGTTAGGTGTGGAGACAGGCAGGGACCTTTTTGTGTGAGCAAAAGAAGATGGCATTCACACCTCTGGAGATGCAGCAAGACGTCTGCCCTGTGCTGCCACAGTATCTTACATAGTGTGTATCTCACTGATGCCAATATGCTTGCCTTTGCAGAAGGAACTCGGTTTCTGAGGGTAAAATCCTGTGGTGTGTTTGTTGTAGAAGTTCTACAAGAAATATTTCATTCTCTTGTTTGTATTTTACAGAAACCTGTTCCCTGCAAATCTTGTTGCTGCAGCTTTCCAAACGGTAAGATATGTGCGGGCTTTGGACATGAGCTACAGTGCACAGACAGACAAAGGGACTCCTCTTCTGTAGAAAAGGACTAGTCTCATAGAGTCACAGAATAGTTAGGGTTGGAAAGGACCTGAAGATCATCAAGTTCCAACCCCCCTGCCATGGGCAGGGACACCTCACACTAAACCATGTCACCCAAGGCTCTGTCCAACCTGGTCTTGAACACTGCCAGGGATGGAGCATTCACAACTTCCCTGGGCAACCCATTCCAGTGCCTCACCACCCTTACAGGAAAGAACTTCTTCCTTATATCAAATCTAAACTTCCCCTGTTTAAGCTTGAACTTGTTACCCCTTGTCCTATCACTACAGTCCCTAATGAAGAGTCCCTCCCCAGCATCCCTATAGGCCCCCTTCAGATACTGGAGGGCTGCTCTGAGGTCTCCATGCAGCCTTCTCTTCTCCAGGCTGAACAGCCCCAACTTCCTCAGTCTGTCTTCATACAGGAGGTGCTTCAGTCCCTGATCATCCTTGTGGCCTCCTCTGGACTTGTTCCAACAGTTCCATGTCCTTTCTGTGTTGAGGACACCAGAACTGCACACAGTATTCCAAGTGGGGTCTCACGAGAGCAGAGGGGCATGGTGCAGAAGATACCAAAAGTTAATTTACTTACAGTAGGTTGGATTTTTGAAAGCACCTTATGCAATCAGACACCACTTCCATGGCAAATGGTTTGATTTTGAAAAATATTCCTCAAGCAAAGGCATATTCATAGCCTATTTCTGTACCTCCACCAGAAACGTTCTTTAAACCTTTATACTACAGGTGCTGTGTTGGGCAGCAGTGGCAACTGTGCTTTGTGCCAGGCTGCTGGGACAGCCTTCCCCTGCTTTGTAGGGAAACCCTTGGGTACATAGTTCGGAGCTGAGCTCAGAACAAGCTAAAGACTTTTAGGCTCCCATGCGTGTAAGCATTACCTGTTGCCTGCTGCTTTTATTTGCTATTTTTCCATTGTATCCCTTGCTGGATTAACTGTTCAGCCTGGCTTCTCTTCCAGCAGAGAACAAAGTGTGGTAGGGTGGCACTGACACCAGAATGTAGCGTGGTTTAAACTGATGGGTAGGAGCTGTGGGGCTCCCAGAAGATTTTGATTTAGTTTGTATTGCTTATTTTAGATGTTGGGATAAACACTGTTGAAAACATTGCTATAGGGCAGAGTGATTCTTTACGGTACAGGAGCAGAATAGTAGTTTTTGCCTTCATGGTATTCTGTGGGTTTGTTTTTATATCAAAACTAAGGTCAAACTTTCAAAATCAAGTTCCATTTTTAGTGTCTATATAATACTGTACAAGTCAGTATGCCATAAATAAAAATAGGAGCAGTACAAAAATACAAGTAAGAAAAGAATATTCTCTGATATCTCAGGTGTCAGGGTTCTGTATGTTCAGGGTTGAAATAAAGAAGTACTCCTTTCCCCCGTGCTGCTGTTGTCACTGGTTGTCACATAAGCTTTTCTTTCCCCTACTTTAGATCTAAAGAAAGCAAGCCCAAAGAAGTGCCCTGCTTTTGCGAGGTGTCTCACTTATTTATCAAAGTAAACTGTTGCCCTAGATTTTAGGTATTTTACTGACAATTTTAATGCCTGCCTTGCCGTTTCTAACAGTGAAACAGCCAAAGTGCCACTTGCCTTCTGCAGGAGCCAGTGTGACAGCGTGGTGTGTGAGCAGCAGCAGGGTGGAGGGAAGGGCAATTCCTTGGCTGCTGCCCAAACCTGGTTGCTCAGGGGGTCACTGAGCACTTTCTCTGTCACCACATAGGGAAGGAGCCGCATACGCTGTGACTCCCTTTCCTTGAACAGGGCAGGCTCCTTACCTTTCTCAGGAGTGTCTCCAGAAGAGGTCTTCTAGCAGTAATCTCCTCCTTGTGCAGTCCTAGATGATACGGTCATAGTGATGGTCTGATCAGCAAACACTGTGGTTTTGTTTGTTTTTCTTACCTGCAGTATGCGACAGACTACAGGATGCTGTCCAGAAACACTACCTCTGGAAATGTCACATGGGAAAAGGTAAGGTCACTTCTGAAGTTCCCATACAAACCCGTGTCAACTGTGATATTTGACTGCTTTGCAGTCTTTAACCCTTTCCAGCAGTCATTGGAAAGAAACAAGTACTTTTCTTTGCATGGAACTGAGACGCACACAGAGCAGATGAGTTACCCGCAGCCACACAATAAAGCTGCCGTGGACAGGAAACTCGGGCTTAGCTGGTCCTACCCTTGAAACCTTATTTTTAGGCATCCTTTCTTAGACCTGATCTCACTTGATCTAAATTTTGATTAGTCACTCTGCCTATTATTTCCAAATAACTTTCTGTAGACCTGGAATTAAACAGCAACCAGGCTGGCTGGGTCTGTCCCCCAAACCTGACTCTGCAATAACAGTTTGGGGAGAATGAGCTTTTTTCCACTACTCAAGGCTATTTTAAGGGTTAGTTGAGAATTTTTTCTTGTTGCTATGCTGCTGGAATTTTGTTTGAAGCGGTAACAAGTGGTCTGATATAGACAGAACATTACAAATAGGCATTCACCCCATCTGACATGCGTGCACAGCAATGACTGCAGAAGGGCCATGCGATCCTTAAAGAGTACTTTCTCTTCTCGCGCCATTGCATCCTTGGGCAGTAATTCCCATACAGCCTAATGCTGCTAAAAACCAAGTTCAGTGTGAAAGGCTCTAACAGTGTGCACTTAGAGTTTGCAGGGTGTAGTTATTCTTCAGGTACCTTTCATTTCCCCCTGCTTAAGACTCTTATTTACCTTCAGTGTCAAGTTGATAAGGGCTCTGTGGCAACCAGGCATCGATCAGGGCCAACCATATCCACTGGACACAGACTTGGCTGTTGAGTATTTTTTTAATGCTTGTTCACAGCCATCACTCTTCTTGAAGATACCAGAATGCATCTTTTGGCAATTTAAAATGGGAGGTGGTTTTTCAGTTTTCGTCTTTCCTTTTCCCACTTATCAGGCTCCTGTTTGATGCAATATCAGAAAAAATACCCCAAGTTTGTCACCAGCACCTGTTTTTGCCAGGGGTAATGATGTAAAGGTTATTTCTGCTATGATTTTTCCAAAACTTTTCATCAGATGTTGGAGCAAAACCAGAGCTGAGCTGCTTTAATTCCACAAGACGCCCGACTGGCCCTAGGGAAGAAAGGACCAAATAAAAAGAAAGCATTTTCTCAGTTTTGTTAGCTCAGTTTCAGTACTGCTCTGACCATATTATTTATGGGTAGATGAGGGTTTAGTTTGGAAAGGAAGAGTTATGATTTTTGGATAATATGTAGTATAAATATCAGAGAGATAGAAGCTGGGTTCCAGGGAAAAAGATGCTATTTCTATATAATGTTTTCATTAATCAGCAGAATACTTGATTGAAGAGGAGTAATGTTTTCTGTTTTCCATCTGAATAGGGTAGAGCAAAATTTTCCATTGATTATATTATTTTTCCCCTCGCTGGTTAATAGGTCTTGTCTTCTCTTGCTGTTGATAAGAGTAGTGGGGCACGTAGATGTCTGCTCAGCCATGTGTTTTTTGTTGTTTCACATGCTCCCTTCGTGTTTACCTTGCTTTCATGGCTATATCCTCTCCGTCCCCTCAGCAGCAAGGTTTCCTGGGGCACAGACTATCTCAGTTCCCCATCTGCAGCACAGGGAAGCTGTGGGGGGACTCTGGGTTCCTCCTGTGTAAAAGTACACAAACCAGCGGTTGCTCTTCTTCCTCACATCACACGGCTGCATTCTCTTTTCAGCCACCTACTACTGGGAGAGCTCAATGGCAGCAGTTGTTTCCTTGATAAGCATTTCATTTCAAGAGCTAAAAAACAATAGGATTTTCAGAGAAATTCAAGGACCAGAAGAGCTCCCTGCATCTTGCTACCAGAACACATGATTTAAAGCAAACAATAACGCATCCCATAGTTTATCCAGGAACAAAGCTCTCATTAAAGCTCTTTTTGTTTGGTGTCCACAATGCTGCTTAGTTTGGCAGCTCCTTTGGGGTGATGCACTCTTCTGTTACAGTACAAAAAGGCTGTTCAGCATTGGCCAGTTTTAGGGCCTGGGATTGAGAGAATCTTCCGCTGAAGATTTACTCCTGGGCTCTTTCCATGTTGTGCTCCAAGGAGGTGAAATTCCCTGGATGCTGGCAGATTGTCCTCTTGATTTGCAGGGAGCAATTTCTTGCAGTAAGTTACTAGTCTGTGCAAATGATGCACCTTCTGCCCACATCTGTGGTGATGGGAGGCAATGGTGAATGTTGGGTGACATAAAGAAACTGGGTCAAGAGAGAGAAAGAGAGAGCAAGACCTGAAAACAGGGACCTAGAATAGCCCTGGCCTTGTCTAGCCAGGGAAGTGGCATTCCAAATTAAGCACTAGGAGATTTGGCCACGGTTCTCCTGTGTGCCTTCCAAGCTCTGTCCTGCTCTGTGATCCTGTGTGCCCTGCACAGCTGGTGGGAAGCTGAGCTGAATCTTACAGATTCAGTACACTTCTGCCCTGTTCCTGAGAGTAGAGCTGTGAAAGCCCAAAGGACAGCAGGTTGCCTCAGGCTCGTACAGACTCACACCACTGCTTTCAGTCAGTCTCCGGTAGAAGGAGCTTATAAAGGACAGATGCTTTGCAAAGCTTTCGTATAAAGTAGTATAATGGAATTCCCTCCCAGTAACATCCATGTGGGAATGCTGGGCACTTCCAGCAGCTTAAAGCACTGAATTTCTGTTCCACAGCAAAGTCTGATGTATATTTTTTGTCTGAATGAGAATCAAAAAAAAAGATCACTCAGTGTCTTTAAGATTATTTTGTGTGTGTGCGTGTGGAAAATGTTTGGGCCCATTATGGTAAAATTCAGTTCCAAGCCTTGTGTTGAATGAACCCAATATAAGATGTTATATTATAAACTAATGAGTTGGGAAAAAATCCAAAGCCTAAAACAACCCCCCAAAAAATCCCAAACCAACAAGGTGAAAAGTTGTGTCAAAATGAGAGCGGGTTGCATTCACTCCATATGCATAAAGTGTTTCTTTTCTGGTGTAAAAACATTCACATTTTGCCCAAGTTCCCATTTCCCAGAGAAAGCTTTGGTTTTGATGAACGGACGTGGCAGTGTTATTTTACTCCACATCGACTTTCTTCCTGTTAATGAATCAGTCCTATAATTTGAGACTCGTACATAGATTTGTGTTTGTACTGATAAATTATCACTGAAATTCTTAGTTTCTCTTCAGCCTCATGGTAAGCCGTATCTCCTACCTAGAGTTATGTTTTGCCAGCAGAAGAGAACATGTGCGCGCCACGTACACAATCAGTTCATTCAATAAATAGAAGAGTGTCATTTTTTTGTCTTAACTTTTCTAAGCACAGAAGAGTTTAGGGCTTTCAGGGACACAAAATGGAATATAGACAAAACTGTCCAGAGAGAAAAGTGTTACTGTGTGCGGAGAAAACAGCACATTTATTCAGATAGCTTTGGAAATAACCTGTGCCTTGTTCTTAACCCTGTTCATGACTGCAGATCTTTCAACTGGAATGCTGACAATTTAGCCCTGAACAAGTAACTACCATTACATTGCAGAGCTTATATCTGATTATTTTGTAGGTAGCTAATAAAAAAGCCAGAACCTTCGTTGTTCGTAAACGCTTTTGTTAACAGCAGTTCAGAGTTAATGCTTTTGTGTATAATTCATGGTTTATCCCCTTCCCTGCAGTACTTTATTTCCCCCTGCCACTGAGAGACAGGCCAGGTGAGCAGTACTTCCAGCAAAAACATCATCTTGAGCAGGCTGGATTTATAGAATCATAGAATCACAGAATAGTTAGGGTTGGAAAGGACCTTAAGATCAACTAGTTCTAACTCCCCTGCCATGGGCAGGGACACCTCACACTAAACCATCTCACCTAAGGCTTTGTCCAGCCTGACCTTGAACACCGCCAGGGATGGAGCATTCACAGCTTCCCTGGGCAACCCATTCCAGTGCCTCAGCACCCTTACAGTAAAGAACTTCTTCCTTATATCCAATCTAAACTTCCCCTGTTTAAGTTTTAACCCGTTACCCCTTGTCCTATCATTACAGTCCCTAATGAAGAGTCCCTCCCCAGCATCCCTATAGCCCCCCTTCAGATACTGGAAGGCTGCTGTGAGGTCTCCCTGCAGCCTTCTCTTCTCCAGGCTGAACAGTCCCAAATTTCTCATCCTGTCTTCATACGGTTTAGCCTACCAGGTTTAGCAGCTCAGTATCTCAAGTTCTTTACTCAATGTTCATTTCAAGCTTTTAGCTCAGAATATGTTTTTCTTTCTTAACGTTGAGCCAGCGTCTGCTTAAACCAGCCAAAAGGCCAACACTTGTACACCGACCTAATCTGTTTGAGAAGCTCTTCCAAATAAAACAACAATTTGACATGAGCTTGTGCTGCCAAGGTGGGGAGAAAAAACACTGTCAAAGCAGTTGTATTTTTATGTAGCCACAAGAACACTCATTCAGTTCATAGGATACTACCCTGGCAAACCAGCTCCGGTTGTCTTTGAGAACTGTGAAGGACCAGCAGAGCAGACTTGTGAGCAGACTGGTTTTTGTCAATAGGTGGATCTTGGTTTTCTCCTCTCTTACTGTGCAGCCACATGATTTTTGGGAAGGGGTATTTCTTCTATTCTCTCTGCATCTCCCACAGCTGACATGGACAGATGAATGAGCAGTTTTCACAGTTTGCTACCTTTCTCTACCCCTCTCCCCCCTTTCTGCTTCATAACGTTGGTTATTTGCCCTGGTTTTCACCTTGGTATAAATATTGCACTAAAGCAATGGATGGAGCTGGCAGTTTCTGAGAGCAGATTCCCATCAGAGGTGTCAGAAATAAGAGATGTTTGGGGCCAGCCCACTGCAAGCCTCTTGGAGGTATGATTTGTTTAGGCAGTAGAATATCGTAGTGTCAGCAGTGAATGATGCTTTGTGGAATATGCAGAGGTAGGAAGTCAATATCACCAGCATCTGCCATTTATGTCTGCGGTCTCTCCAACACCCATCTTCCTTTATGGGGAAACAGGGGTTTCAGTCTTTTAACCACAAATGGATTTGGTGCCCTTACTGTTTTGCATCTGCAGTGGAGCTTGTTGTGAGTAAACTGGGGATGTTTGCTGTTCAGGTCACTGAAAGCACACATTTCATATTGAAGGGCATGAGGGAAGGTAGCGTCAGACCCTTTCCTTCTCCAGTGAATCCATGCCAGCTCATAACTAGGAAGGTTTGTATCTGGACTGTGTCCAGATCTGGTTTGGTTTCCTTCAGCAAATAGGTTCTTCCTTCCCAAGGTAGGTTCTGCTTGTTGATTTCAGATCAATTGGACAGCAACAAAATGAAGTGATACCTTTGTTGGGTTTTGTGCTGGTCTTGCATCTAACAAACCGCCGGTTTTCTGCCTCTGCAGATCCCTGTTGGTACTGAGGTCGAAGGGATGAATATCCTGGGACTGGTGCTGTTTGCTCTGGTTTTAGGAGTAGCACTGAAAAAGCTTGGCCAGGAAGGAGAAGATCTGATTCGCTTCTTTAATTCATTCAATGAGGCAACTATGGTCGTGGTTTCCTGGATTATGTGGTAAGTGTGTGACTGCAGTGTATCATTATGTTTAGCTCAGGAATCTCACCATTTATCCATCTTTCCAGCTTTTTCCTACCAGATCTCTCATCACAGCAAAAGCAAATGTCATTGTGTCACTTGATGGGGTCTTTCCTTCTTGCTTGTGCCTTGTAATTAGTCAGTCACATACCTTAAGGTACCAGTCTGGAACACTTCAGAGGCTCTCCAGGACTCATTTTTGATTAATCAGTGGAAATGTGGGTTTCTACTTCAAAGCAGCATGAGCCGATGGCTAGCTGCCATCATGTGCCTAAAGGGACTGACCTTGAATGAATACAGGAGATGGAAGCAAGTGAGGAATATGGTTATGTGAAGGCCAGGAGTGTCTGTGCTTGGAGTGCACTTGCAAATGCAGTGTGTAACTAAAATCATACTCATAGCTTCATGCCTTCATTTTTCTGTTGGTCAGAAGGTTACTTTTAGTGACCTGAAAGATATCCAAGGGGTTTGAGAGAAACCCTGTTGAGTGCATGAGTACAGAGCACCACCTCTCCACTTGTATCAAAGGGTGATGGAGAACCTACATCCCTTTGTATAGAAGGGAGAAACAGTCTCTAGGGCTATGCTCTGAAATGGTAGTGCTGGCTATTGAGTGTTTTGTCATTGTTACCAGCAGAGCCTGAGTTACACAGTGGATTTTAAACCTCTGCTCCTCTTTTAAGAGCTCCCTTGTTTTCTTGGGTAAAGCAGGAATTAATGTTCCCAGCAGCAATCAACTGTTTGTGCTTGTTTCTCCAGAGATTCTTCTCTTTTCCATTTCACATCCCTGAGAGTAGATATTTCCTAAGGTTGATCTTTTATTTTGTCTCCTGCTATTAATGAGCAAATCCATTGTTTCACTTACTTCCCTGTAGTCCAGACATGTTTATAGGCTGAATGTTGCTCTGACCAATCTCACAAAGCTTTTGGCACCAAATAAAGTCTGTATGTTAGGAACTGGAGTGCACTGAACTTTCTCTCTAGGCAAGAAACCAGCAGTGGAGGAGGCAGGCACCTCTAGAGAGCAGTTCAGGCCACCTCAGCTGGGGTAGGACCAGCCTCCTGACTGGGTTTTGTGTCAGGTAGGGTGAATCTGGGCCTCAGAGCAGTATTATGGCTGGTTTTGTGCAGCTGGATGGGTCTAGGCTGCTCCTGTGAAACCAACAGTTCTAATACCTCACACACAAAACCAGACATATTCCTAGGGACAGCTAGCTAACAAATCAACAGTGGGACATTCCTTGCTCCCTTTCTAAAGCTGCTGGAAAAGCTATGAACTTATCTTAGAAGAGGTATTTTTATTCCCTTCATTCTGCATTTTTCGTTCCTGCTATCTGCTTCCTTCCAAGAAGTAAAAAGGTTTTAACAAACCACCTGATTTTACACAGGCAGATCTCTGTTAGTTGCTGTCATAAGGGATTGAAAAATTCAAAGTCTCAAAGTAGCTTAAGTCTTTTGAGTGTAATTCCTTGGACACTGAATACTGATACGAGGCAGTTCTTGTATTCAGCTGATTGCAGTGCTAACACTTGAAGCCAATCAGTTGGTATATAATCCTTTACTTTATGGATTATTGGGACCACAGCTGGCTCTTAACACTGCAGTGTACCGTAGCCCTTACTTGTTCTCTTTCCTCACTTACAGCTCTTGTGTTGTCCTGGTATTTATTCAAAGTCTGTCAAGCTGCATGTACCTCCCAAAGGATATTTTGGAATGGGGGAAATCATACTACTAATTTAAAAAGGCAGCTTAAGCTTGTATTTAGTCCCATGCAACAGCAGCACTTTGGTCTCAACTTTAGTTCCCTCCCTCATCAATGATCCAGTCTCAGCTCTGAATCAGTGTTCGTGTTTGCAGAGCTTGCACAGAGCCAGGGCTCAGCTAGATCTGGCTGATTGGGGTGCTAAGAAGCGAGGTTCAGAGGCAGTATGTGCAGAACTGGCAGAGGCTAAGTGGGGACAGGTCAACAGGTTCCCCATGAGATTTGACCGAGGGAGCACAGAGGGAGTGTGCCCACACAGGCTATGAGGAGCTCATAGAAGGAGTGATGTGGGTAACTTTAAGGCTTGCCCCTTTCCAAACCTTTGCATGTGTAACCAAACGTTCTCAAGTTTTGTCCTGACTCCACAGATCAGCTTTTCTGAACATGGGCAGTGGATTGAAGAGTGGGAGAGAAACCATTCTTTATTCCCTTAATGTACAGGCAGATCTCCTGTAGTCGTGTGTGTGCCTGGGGCAGGGTTCTGGGGTGCTGGGTGATCTTTTTGTGTTCTCAGTCTTGGAAGCAGAAATCTGTGGAGCATGGACAGCATCGGTAGAGGTGCTCATACACAGGCTTCCCAAGCAGAACTCCAGAGGAGCTGACCCTGGGCATGAAGTGATTCCTGCAGTTTATTAGTAGCTGTGCTGCTGTAGGAGCAAGGGCAATTCTGTGTTTTCAGGGCTGTTCCCAGCTGGGACCAGAGGTGTGGCTGTGGCTCGCAGGTTGGCCCTACCCCTGGATCAGCTCCAAGTGCTCCTGACGAAGCCAACATCAAACAAATGCTGACGTCCTAAGACGTGGCACGTTTCTAGATAGGGGGCATGGGAGTGTGTGTGTACGTGGCTGTTGGCTTGAGTGTTGCTCTGAAAGCCTGGTCATTTAACTTCGTCTTTGTAGGCATATAGCAGAGTTAGCTGCTATCTTTGGCACGTGCATCCACAGCCTTCAGCTGCTATGGGCATAGCTTTTTCTTTCCTGCGCTAAATATGTTGTCACCCTGTATGTCTGCCATTGGAATGACCTAACTTCATACTTCTGCTGGTAGTCACCGTGTCTGTAAGATCCTACTCTTCCATCCCTTTCTGTGCTCCAGTGACATGACACGGCTCCTTTTTCTTTCCTACCATCTGCTGTCCCTTCAGCAGTGACTTTAACTTTAGGTCTTTGCCTGCCTCCCTGATAGACTAAAACTCCACACCAGTGTGTTGTGCTTATGGCTTCTGCCAGCATTTCTGCTTCCCGCTTGGCTTCCCTCAGCATTCTCCTAGCTGAAACAGAGCTCTTTCAGTTTGACACTCTTCCAAGCAAGAGTGTTAAGAGAAGCCTTCCAGATCTGCTTAACCTGTGCGTGTGATGAATAAGGTGTTACCCTTCACTAGAAGCAGCATATTCCTTAGGAGAATGCTGTCTCCAGGACAGAAAATGGCATATTTTCCAAGACCTTTTTGTTTGTATTTAATGACAGGCACTGTTTCTTTACACAGGTACGTACCTATTGGCATCATGTTCCTTATTGGGAGCAAGATTGTTGAAATGGAAGATATTGTGGTTCTGGTGACCAGTTTGGGAAAATACATCTTTGCCTCTATTCTGGGCCACTTCATCCATGGAGGAATCATTCTGCCACTTATTTATTTTGCATCCACACGTCAAAATCCGTACCGTTTTCTCTTGGGACTTATCACACCATTTGCCACTGCTTTTGCCACTTGCTCCAGGTGGGTTTCTGTGCTTCTTTGGGGATTATAGTCTGGTTACATTTGTCAGTGGAACCTGGTTATATCCCAACACCAAACTGTGTTGAGATTTAGGTGTGAGTATTGTTCCTGAGATTGCAAACAGATACTTGTGAACATAGAGGGCCTCGCTGCTGTCAGCAGCTGCCACACAGCACATACTGGTAAATAGCTGTTGAAAACAGTTCCTCAAAGTATTAGGACTGTAGCATGATGCTGAGTTGGAATTTTGGGGGGGAAAATGTGAAAGAATTGGCCTTAAAAATGATCCTGCCAGCTCTCTTTTCAGTTTTAAGTAAAGTGAGGGTCAGTGGTGACAGACTTTGTCCTGAGAATTTCAGTTCTCCAAGTTCAGAAGGATCTGGAACAAGGTTAGGCTAATTTTGCAGGAGCAAATCAGATGACATCGGTGACATGATTTAGTGTGAGGTGTCCCTGCCCATGGCAGTTGGGTTGGAACTGGATGATCTTAAGGTCCTTTCCAACCCTAACTGTTCTATGATTCTATTATATATTAGCTAGTGTAAATGGACTTCATATTGTTGATGTCAAAGATTTGGCCTGATCAGCCTCCATTTGTCATACCCAAGCTGTCAAGCATTTCATTTACACTTCTCTCAAGAGGCAAACACCTGATCAAATACCATAACTATACACAGTCTTTTCAGGTCATCTCCAAAAGCAGATGCATGTCTGCCACAGGAGCTGAAGTACATCAAATAGGAGAGGGTAACTTATAGTGCAAGAAATAAATGCAACAGTGTTCATTCTGTTTGTTCACTTGAGAAGGTACTCGTACAACGTTAACAGAGATTGCTGTTGCATGTGTTGTGTTTATTTTGGCATCTGCCGGTGTATTTTTGTGGGTTGAAACTTGATCATTCCACAGCCCTGCTAGGCTGCATTACTGCGTTAAGTCATGAGTTCTTGCTTCTGGGAGATTAGAGTTCTTATCAGCTATTTCTGGACGGAAGCAGATTATTAAATATCACTGCTCAAGACCAACAAGGCGGGTCCCTCATTGCTGTCGTGTCAGAGAGGGACTGTTGAAATGGCATCGTTGTCTTGACAGCCCTGTCTGCAGCTTGTTAGAAACATGAAAGCCATGAGCCAGTGGCTTTCCATTCAGTGCACCCTGATGCTTTTGATGTTTGATTTTTCCCTGTTCTCTGTTTTCTAGCTCAGCCACTCTCCCGTCAATGATCAAATGTATTGAGGAGAACAATGGAGTTGACAAGAGGATCAGCAGGTTTATCCTTCCTATCGGGGCGACTGTAAACATGGATGGAGCTGCTATCTTCCAGTGCATGGCAACTGTGTTTATTGCTCAGCTGAACAACGTGGACCTCAACGCTGGGCAAATCTTCACAATTCTGTAAGCTGCTTGCTATTGCAACCGCGTCCTTCTGGCCCCCAGACACATTCATGCCTGTGGTTTCTCTGTTAATAGCTAGCAGTTTGCATTCCACATCTCTGACCTAAAGCTGGTGAACTGCTATGAAACATAATTACAGGGTGATTAAAGGATGGAGTCTTTCAAACTTGGTAAGATTTGCCTGAATCTCGGTACAAGGTGAAACCTGGGAAGGGTAATTGAATTCCGAAACAGACTTTGAGCTGTTTAAAGCTGTTTCTCACATTCCTCTCCTTCCTCAAGAATTTCACTTCCCTACCCCTCACTCACCATTAAGCTAGGTAATCGAGGCATGCTGCTCTACCCAGAAACCTACCCCTGATTCCTCCTCTGGATGTCTTGGAAGATCCTTCTGCCACCTCCTCAGTTCCTTATGTATTGATTTCATATGAAAGACTCTGCTCCTGCTTACCTCTGCCCTTCCTACCATGATGTCATTGCCTTCCCGGGTCAGACCCGCTATCATTCCCCTCCTGTCTGCTTTGCTCCACTATCCCTCTACCACCTCAGCCCTGCCTCCTTCTGTAGGACTCTCTCCCCTCCCATGTCCCATAACCTATAAAGTGTCATTGCTTTCATTTCCCTGCTCCTGAAATGAGGATCCTACAAGGAGTTCTAGCCCCTCACTGCTAAGAAGTCAGACCTGTATCCACCAGATGCCTCTTAAGGCTGGTTCCTGGCATTTTTTACCCTCCGTGGCCAGGTTTTATTTCCTTCCTTATTGCATTTCTTGGTATATTATTTGTTTATCTAAGGCAGGGCTGGCCCATTATTTTCTTTGCAGCTGGTCAAATTAGCCTTTCAGGTATTCTTAGTGAATCAGGAGTTAACACAGGCCTGGGGATTACGCAGTGATCATCCTAGGAGAACTCAGTTGTAGACATCTGTACATGAAAAGGTGTGTGGTCCATGTCTATACCACATGGACTGCAGGTTTCCAGCTCCTGATGTAGGGTTTGTGCTGGAATGCAAATGAGACAGAGAAGGGGCAGTACTCTGTATGTCAGGGTTTACCTTTATACACTTAGGGGCAGGAAGCATGATGTACTTAGCATATTTGAAGTGACAGATGACTTGGAAATGGATATATTGGTAAGGCAGCAGGATCTGGTTGTGTTGGTTGGGGTGTTTTGCCTTTTTCTGAAAGGGCAATCACTGTATTAAACACAGAGCCATGGCCTTGATAGCTGCTGCGGATGCCTGCTGAGCCACTGTGCTCTGCATCCATTACTTTGCATCAGCAGGCAGGAAAAAGATTTGCCTGGGAAGCAAATGATCCTTGTGTCCCATGCTGGCGAGTTTGTTTACAATTCCCATAGTGGGGAAGCGTGGGATGCAAGTGTGGAAGAGGAGCTGCTGCTAACGGGGTGTGCAAATTGATTTGCAGTGTGACAGCTACTGCATCCAGCGTGGGCGCAGCCGGGATCCCAGCCGGAGGAGTCCTCACCATCGCCATCATCTTGGAGGCCATTGGACTTCCAACCAACGATCTTTCCTTGATATTAGCGGTGGACTGGATTGTGTAAGTACTTCAGGCCACACACATCTGCTGTTAATGATGTGTAGATGGAAACATGGAGCTTCGTAGTCAAAATAGTGCAGGGTAAAATAAAACCATACAATATGTGGTTGCCTACAGGACTCTTGATAGATAATGGAAAAGGGGGTCCCTTCTCAATTAAAGCAGTAGGATAAAATCAGAGTCACAGAATGGTTTGTGTTGGAAGGGACCTTAAAGCCCATCCAGTTCCAACCTCCTGCCATAGGCAGGGACACCTTCACTAGAGCAGGTTGCTCTAAGCCCCATCCAACCTGGCCTTGCCAGTTTTGAAGTCCTCCAGTGAGTTAAATGTGGTTGCACACTCTGTTCTGCTTTCACAGTGGTGCCTTTGAGCAGGCAGTTCCTTATGCAGCTGGAACTGGATGGGCATTGCCAAACATTTCTCTGTGAGCACTTGGCAAAATGAAAACATATTTCTTCCTGGTCTCGATTTCCGTAGGAAGATTGTTAAAAGTTTGTTCAGAAAGTGTTGGTATTGCTGGAAATCAGTTGGAAATTCGTGTGGAAAGGGGGGAAAAAGGAAATGGAGTCTGCATGGTGGTGGCAAGCTTTTTTTGTCACAGGTGGGAAGCAGTCTCCATCAGAAGCGGTTGTCAGCTATTGTTGTTTGAACTATTTTTGTAGTTCAAGACTGGTCAAAGCAACAACCAAAACGTCACAGAGAGGTGCCATCCATTGGCAGGGTAGGGACATAGAGGGTTCGTGACACTCATCATAGTGTCACAGCTGGAACATGCTGCTGGGAGTTCCAAGTTTAATACACAGTATTGCCACCTTTCTTTTCCATCTTCTGGGAAACCGATAAAAGGTCAGGATTTTGCTTCTCTTCTTTACAAAGCCCATTCCCTCTGCCTGCCTTCATTTCAAGATGTGTAAGCATCCCTCTGTGGTCAGCAGTGTTCTAATCAAGGAACTGAGCCTTGTGGTAACAAAAGGGGAAAGGAGGGAGGGAGAGTCCAGTGTCTTGTTTTAGTGCCAGCTGTGTGATCACCAGAAAGGACCACAGTTACATGTTGAGCACATGTTGAAGTTAGGCTCCAGAATGACCAACAGAAGTCTCAGAAGGCACGAGAAGAAATTGTTCAGCTTTATGACCCATAAACTGCCTCCATTAGACCTCAGGACACAGTAGTTTTGTGACATGGGACCAAAGCTACTACTGGCAAGAAATCCAGAGAATGCAGTCATTCTGCCTGCTCCTCTTCAGAAGGCGTTTAGGTTAAGGTACAAGTCTCTATAGTTAAAAAGAGGGCTGAGTGCTCTGAGCCACCTTCTGGATAAGCCCAAATTAAGGTCCTGCTCTGAACTTGCATTTGAAAGCTGCTCACCTGGGGAAGGGGAAGAGGAAGGAGGTGGGCTGGGAAAAGCGGGATGCCTGAGAAAGAGTAGTACCATTGCTGCAACCCACTGAGAGACCAGAACCTGGTCTGATAGTAACAGTTGGGCTGACCTTAAACTAGCTTTGGTGCACAGTTTTGGTTCTGAGATGGTGATACTTCTGTGGAAAATACCTGTTGTAACAACCTCTCCTTTGTGTAGCTCCACTGAAGCCAGTGGATCAGCAGGGCTGAATCAGCTCCTCTTCTTGTGTTGTAAGTCTCTTAAGCTAAAAGCCTGCTGCTTTGTTTCTTGCTCCTGTTTAACCAGGGACCGAACCACCACAGTTGTGAATGTGGAAGGGGATGCCCTGGGAGCAGGCATCCTCAATTACCTGAATGAAAAGGAAAAGAAAGACAAAGAGCAGGAGCTAAAGGAAGTCAACGTAGAAGCAGTTGCTAACAGCAAGTCTGAAGCGGAAACATCGCCGTTGGTAACCCACAAAAACCAAGTCTCCAACACGAGCAGTACAGCAGACCCTGAATCCAAGGAATCAGTATTGTGATGAGGCTGTTCGTCAACACGTGTCCTAGAGGTGGACCAGGGACTTGCTAACGCACCTAGACCTTTGCAGTGCTAACAAGGGCTGGATGGCTCTTGAAAGCTTTCAGTTCCAGTCTGTTTTGGGATATGCTGGCCTAGGGAAGGAGAGGGAGGTGGGGTGGGCAGAGCAGGGGTGTTGAGAAAGAACACTCCCTTTATAGTAGTATTTTGATAATTCATGTGTGTACATGTGTATGTGCTGCACACGCACACACATATACATGTACGTGGAAACTGCCATTGAAACTTCTGGTTTAACAAGGCTTCTGTTAGTAAAGGCACATGTGGGTTGGAGGTGGGGAAGTAGACAAACCCAGTATGTGCTTGTGATAGGGAAAAATTAGTAAGCTTATTGTGCTGCTGTTCGAATGGAGATGCAGGCTAGAAACTCCAGAGTGGGGGAAAATGTTGCTTGAACTTAGTTTCTGGCCTGGAAACACATATTGACCGTTACAGACATGATATGAAGCAACATTTTTCACCTACTCCTCTTCCTCTCCTCTTCTCCAATCCCTTAAAAATGTCAAATATGTCCTGAAAAATAGCTTTGTTTTTTTTTCCATATCTGAATTAATAGCTTGTTCCATCCCTCCCCCCTGCAGTGCAGCTCATAGCAGCTTTTCTGCCTTTTGGTAAGTCACTCCCAAACTTTGGGACCAAACATAGGAGATCTTCATGCAGATCAAGGACTGGTCTTCTCCTTTCCTTTAACCAAGCTGTTAAGGAAAAAAATCCAGAGGAAACACAAATTTTGTTAAAGTAATCCTTCGGGAGCTGAAGAAAATGCAGAGTCTGTTCCAGCATAAATAGGTCTGAAAGAAGCTTGCCTGTGACAGCATCAAGAGATCAAGAAGTCAGTTCCCTTCATGCAAACTCCTTTGCTAGCACGCTATGTGCTACTCCTGTTTATTTAATGGGCCAGTCCAAACAAGTTACGTCATATCCCTCTTCCAGCAAAATTGAACAGGGGAGGAAAAAATCTGAGCACACATCATGTGGGAACTGGCGACAGGCAGGTCTGAGTGGTGGCTGGAAAGGGGAAGAGGCGGGTTTATAACACCATGTAGGTCAGTGATGTGTGTGTTGGGGCAGCTGCGTACCTGTTCCTGGAGTCTGGTCCTTCTATAAATGTTTTTCTGGCAGCAGCTTAACGTTTAGTGCTTGTGGGTGGTGCCGGGCCAGGGTAACACGTAGTGGCAGATGGTAACCATTGCTTGAGGCTGAGCAAAACGCTTCTGGATTCTGACTCCATCTTTTTCCCTTTACAACCTACTTCCTGAATTTGCACCCCGAACCTGAACCCAGTCCAGCAGAACTCATTGCAAAACTCCCATTGATTTATCTGGGCTTTTTGGACAGCACATAGTTATGAAATGATATCTGTGCATATGCCAAGATCTGCCTGGACTTGCGACACTTCCCCTTGGCTACTTTAGCAAGATGACTGCGTATAGTCAGTCTCCACACTGTTAATTCAGCAATATACATTTACACTTAGCTTTGATATAAAGTAATGCTGAGTCTCCCTTTTTTCTTTCTCCTGTCTTGCTTCAGAGGAAGCTATCTTGGAAGGATACCCAGCTGCTGATGCGTATGGTCACGGCACTAGGAAAAGGCACCTTCAGTTTCATGCGCTTAAGTTGCAAAGCATCCTTCCTGGTAAAGGCACACAATGAGCATTGCAAAAAAGATGCTCAGAGTGAGATGTGGCTGCCTCTGAGGGAAAACACAGTGAGTGCATCAAACGTGGCTCTTTAATCATGTGCAGAAGGGCTGCACAAACAATTGAAGTAGGAAAGCATTAGTCAGCCCACTGAGCAGCTGCAGGTGGACTTTCTTTTTAACCAGCTTATTTATAGCCATGTCCACAAAATTTGGTCATTCCTTGTCTCATCTTCAGAATGGAAGGAGACAAACACAATTTTCTCTAGGGACATCTTTTGCCCAGTATTTATTATTCCATTTTTAGCAGATCAAGACTTGCTGAAACTTTGCATTTCCTCCCATTAGATTCGTCCCAACTCCTTTCAACTCAGGAAACCAAAAGCGCGCTTTGTAGCTGACAGTGAAAGTCAACAAATAAGAAGTGTTTTGAAAAATGTTGGAGGTTTGAAAAAATGTGTCTCAAAAACCTTATTTAAAAAAAAAAACAAACAAACACAAGTATTTATTTGAAAAATCTGAATTCACCAGAACCCCAAATACTTTGATTTTAAAGTAATATGTGTCTGTCTCAAGGAAGCTGAAAAACAAGACTGTTCCTTGTGGGCTGGGTTCTGTAGTTGCATTTCATCGCCCATCAGACAGCTTAGCTCCTGTGATGTTCTCCCTCACCATGACACATGCAGCTGGGATGAGGACGTGAGAGCAGGCAGCACTCTCACGACATTTCCCATGGAGCATCACAGCACCATTGTAGACTAGAATATTTCCCAAGTTTTACTTTTTTTAACCCAAAGGCTGTTACTGCTCACAGTTAAAAGTACTCTCCTGGACAAGTCCAAAGGCTGGGCTTCCTCAAAGGCAGCACCTTCCCATTGCTTTCTTCCTTGTGGTGATGCAGCTTGATTGCACCTCCCTTGTAATAGTGTGCCATAGGCTGCAGCACATTCCTTCATCATAGAATCATCATGGAATGGTTTGGGTTGGAAAGGACTTTATGATCATCTAGTTCCAACCCCCTGCCATGGGCAGGGACACCTCACACTAGACCATGTTGCCCATGTCCTTCTGACAGCAGATCCCAGGAAATGGTAAATTAAGGCCAATACTTAAGAGCTGTCATAGTATTTTCCAGTATGCAGAATCTCAGTCTTTGCTGAAGGATGCCTCTCCCAGTCCCTCCTAGTGGATTGCTACATTTGCTACATTCCATTTGGAATGGCTAGTCCCATGTAAAGCTTGTTAGAGCAGTCAGATTTAAAGAGGTCAAATCATTCTCATAGCAAGATTTTAACCAAGGAAACCTAACACTCCTCCTGGAAACAGGTGCTGTGGGGTTTATATGAATCACTAGTATTTGGGTTTTAACCAGAAATCTGTAATCTTACAGAAGCCACACTTTAGACTTACAGAGATGCCAGTTCTGTTGTTCTTGCACAGCAAGAGGGATCTATGGAAGCAGGAATGTGGGGTAGCTACTGCTTGTCAAAAGATTGTCTTTTCTTTGTCAGCTGTGTCAGAAATGGCATTTCTGATGCCATCTCTGATGTTCCCATTCCTCATGATAGCCATCCCGCATCTCCTAGGGCTCTCCACCTGGCTTCACATTGTTTTTTCTTAAGGTACAAATGTGAAATATCCAACATTACACTCCATTGGACTGTAAGATATTTGACACATTCCAGGAACTGCCCTTGTAACGATGTGAATCCTGATCGACAGCCCGATGAGACAGAAGACTTGCCATGTGCTCCAAGTGGTCCAGGTCTTCAGGTAAGGCCACTGGGAGAGAACTGAAAGGGCTGTTGAAGGGGGTGCATTTCGGGTGCTGTCCTGTACCTGCAGTGCAATGTGTTATACTGGGAACTTCCTATTTCAGCCTCACTCCAGAGGCTGAGCTCAGAAGGTGCTCAGCAGCGGTGCAGGTACAGCCGGTGGTACCTGCTCTGCTCTCACCCAGGCACTCCAGAGCCTGGTGCCGCTGTGGTACTTCACTCCAATGCCTCTGGACCAGATGTGTGTTTTATGTCCTCCCAACGTGACTGTACAGTGGAAGCCTTTAGCCAGTTGCTTCTTCTTTCAAGAGGAAATAAATTCCGTCGAGAAAACACTAATTTTTTCTTTCTGGTTTTAGTCTCTTTCTTTAAGGTACAAATTCTCTCCTTAGGAAAGCAGACAAACAGCTGGGGTCCTGCCCTCTAGTACAGCAGTTGCTTTTGGAGGGAAAGATACAGGAATACGGAAGAGACGAGTCTGCAAGCCTTTGGCATATGCACTCCCATTTTGTCTCTGATGCCGTTTATTCTTCCACTTCTACCTTCTGTTTTTCAGTGAAGTTTATTTGACTGTTTTGGACCATCTTTTATTTATTTTTCTCCAGGATTGGCTTTCCACTCCATGCTTTATCCATCACTGCCTGGAATTCCACTTCCTGGAATGCCCGATGCTGGTTTTATGTATAGGATGCTCAGGTATAAATGGGAGAGTGTTGAGGGCTCCAGCTTGTCCTTGGAAAAGTAGTTCACATTCTGCCTTGCTATGATGTGCTTGGTATTTCAGTAAAGACCCATTATTCCTAGGAACCAAACTTCAGCTGGGTCTCGCTGGTGTGTTGGTGATTACACTACAAGAGGCAGTAATTACAAAGGGCATTAAACCCTTCTGGGGGCGTCTTGTGCAGTCGGGGTGGGTTTTGTGGTGAGAACAGTCTAGGGCCAAACCCAGAGCTTCCCCTGCAGGGGTGTGCCCTTTGGACATGACAGAAACGTGGAGCCAGCCGAAGTGCCACATGGGCTGGTGAAATAACCTCTGCTTTGTCTTTTCCAGGCAGCCCTGTTACTGCCTGAAGAGGTTGGAGGGACAGTATGGGGGCAGGAAGGTTTCATATGTACTTGCTCTGTTCCTGTGCTCTTCCCTGGGTACTTGCTGTGGCCAGGGCCAGAGATGGACATGAATTAGTGTCACCATTCTTAGACTCATTCTGCTGTGGTTCCTCTGTATTTTACAGCAAGAACACAGATGTTTAGGCAGTTCCTCTTTCAGCTGAGTCAAAGACCCTGGTATCTTTGTGACTGGCCACCCTGCCGTATGTTATAGGTTATGTCCTCGAGTGCTTTTAAAAGGTACAAACCCACCTCCTCTTTCTGCAGAGATTTGCAGTCCCCAGTCCTGACTCTTCACTCTGCTCCTTTGCTAGCACAGCACATTTCACCAGCCTCTGGAAAGCACCTCCTGTTGGGAATCATCATTTTTAATCCTCAGCCTTCCACAGGCAGTGAGCAATGGGCCTCAGGTAGGAAGTCCAAGGACCAAAAGACAAGCTGTTGAGTTTACAGATACTTTACCTGTGTCTCACAGGCAGTAGTGTGGAGGATAGCGAGTTGCAGTGTTTGGAGAGCACTCCTAAGACAGAGAGCACTAAATCTTAAATAATAATGAGCTTTCCAACACTCTGAAGGGAATCAAACAGCTACAGTGTGCACCATGAAGTCAGGATTGCATTGTGCTACAGTATGAAGGACTGATGGAAAGGAGATCTAGTGTATGCATTTGCTGGGCTAACTCAGGGGAAGCAGGGGAGCTAGTGTCAGTGTGAACTGCATTTCAAAAGGCAGATGTGATTTAGTCAAGGGGGCACAGTGCCCTGTATATCTGCCTCTTTCCATCTTCACCTGGCATGCCATCAAAGCACACGTTCAGGTAAATTAACAGACCTCACCATGAATTCAACATTAATTAGGAGCCTTGACAGCTTAGTTTCTGTCTAGTTTCAGTGGGAGAAAGTGCTTTTCAGCTGAAAGAACAAGTTGTCTTGTTGACAGTATTGGTGAAAAGAGGGGAGAAGAAAAAGGAAGAGCTGGAAGGATGCAGGGGGAGCATCGCAGAAGGCAGGGTAACAAAATGGATAAAGAAGCTAAGACCTGAAGGAACCATCTCTCCCTTGGCATTTCAATACAGACAGCATCAACAAGACCGCAGGCATCTCTCCACCATGTAGCAGAGGATGAAAATCCCTGCCCAGGGATTAGCAGGGAGAGGCAGACACGAGCGTTGGTGTTTCTGAGGTACATCATCACTGAGCAACAACGAAGCATGCAGCGTGTCAGCGTGGAGCTCTGATAAGCTGCTCCTGGCTACAAGCCGTGACCACAGACATAACGGTGCAGTTCTGGATCAGGGATTGACCCACATTCCTCCTTGCAGGATAGCTAGGACAAATGCTCCTCAGATAAATGCGTGGTAGCCATTATTCTCTGGGGACAAAGACGTTGTTATTTATGCGAGCATACTGATGAAAGCCGTGTTCGCTTGCTGCTTCAGTGTCAGATAGGAGGGAAAAGGGTATGACAAGTGAGTTGAAACCTTTTCCAGGCATTGGGCAGCACATTGAGACAGTTGCCATTGAGTATTTTAAATCTGTTGAGAAGTGATCAAGAGCCCTATTTGGCTCGCGTAGCTCTGTCTTCACATCCAAGCAGGAGCTTGGGAAATGAATGTTAATGTGGTATTCATTCCCTGCACGGGGTCTTCACAGACATTTGTGACCAGCAGGCACTGTTTCACAGCTGCAGCAGTGAATGCATGCAGAAAAAGGTGAAAGAATGCTTCTTTGAGTCACGTGAGGAGTTGCCAGGCAAGCGAGGAGCAATCTTGAATCCTGAAACCAAGTTCATTTTTAACTATCACCTCCCTAAAACCACTAACATCTGCACGTTTGTAAGTACATTTGAGTATTGATACACAGCAGTGTTAGTGCAGGGTAATACCTTCTCTTTTTTGGAGGAATGGAAGAAGTGTAGACGTACGAGAGCTCTCTTCCTTCTACGATGTTTCTTTGATGGAAAAGGGAAAAGGAAATCTCTTTCATTCAAGAGTTCATGGTACGGTTCCCTATCAGATCCTGTCTCAGTGTCAGCAGTTACATCATCCTCACCAGCAATGAAATCTCATTGGGTTTAACCACTGATGTCGGTGCCAGCAGGAGGTGAGGACTGCGGACATTTCAGCAGACCAAGTGCTCTTGAAGTCCTGCTCAAGAAATATTTGTACTTGTCTTTCCCAAGGCCACAGATGCTGTTTGCCTGCCGACAGGAACCAGAATGAGGAAATGAATCTGGAGCCAAGCCTGTTGTAATGCAAAGTTAACAGTGTGGGTTAAAGCCACAGAAACCAAGAAAGTTGGTATTGGATTAAATTCAGATCCTTAGAATGACTTTCACTTGATCCTTCTGATAACAGAGAAAGTAATACCCTTCTGCAAGGATGTAAGTTAGCAGCTGAAGCTAAACCGCGTATGGCATGTTGGTGTGACTGAAGTTAATTGCAGCTACAGGCTGCAGAAAGAAATCGCCAAGGGAAAACTCTGTATGAAGCTGTTTCCACATGCCTGAATCCCCCTGGATTACATTCCCACAGAAAGAATTGTGCTTAGCCAGAAAAGAACACTGCAAGAGTTAACTGGATTGGGCTGTAGCTTAAGGACCAGAAGGAATGCTACCAAATGGACAGGCCAGGGCCTTCACTGATGTGCACGAATGCAATTTCCTAAGCTTACAATGGCCTGTGGGCTCATGATGGAGATGATACCTCCTTAGCAGTGTAGGGGTTTGGTCTGGTCCTCTTAAGATGATCATGTTCAGTAAAGCAGCAGTAAAGGAACATGTTTAAAACCCCTTGTCTGTAACTAGAGTCATTTTTCATGCTCACGGTATTCTCATGCCGGGGTGCCCTCAAACACATTGTCTTTCCTAGATAGTGTTGATGCGGAAGCAAAGCTTCCTCATTTTTTAATTGGTTTTCCTTCTCCATATCCCTCCTGCAGAGTCTGCTGCGGTCCTTGGGAGTCTGCCCAGACCCCAGTAGGTCCAGGCTCCTACAGTACACAGATCAGAGATATTAGAGTCCCATGTGAGGACATAGGCTGTCTCACACCTTGTTACGAGGGGATGAAGATGTATCTTAAACTTTGGAGGAGGGAGTGCTTAATTAAGACAATACCTTCATGATGTTTTACAGTTAAGTCAAATAACTATTGCCAAGCTGGCCCAGCCCTGGCTGCCTCCCTGCGCTACCCCACGGTATGTCTCTGCCCCTCTGGTGACATTATTTCCCTAAAGACCAATGGAGGAATGTGTTGGCCATCCATGAATATTCCAGTCTTTTGCGAATATAATCTTATTTAGACTTTCTCTGTTGCTATCCTGGCTACTCTTTCATAAGGTCATCCACATGCTGTAGGCGATGGAGACCACTTGTAGCACTACAAATAGCTGAGTGTACCTCTGCTAAAGGGAGATGAGCCTCTTCTGTCTGACTAGCTTCATGGTTATAGCAAATTGAGACTGACGCACCCACAGCTTGTGAGGGTGAGGATTTTGATTAGATTCTGATTAATCCCTCTACATTCAGGGACAGCAGGACCACCCTAGGACATGAGGAGTCTCCTTCTGCAGCAGAGGTATGCAATCTGCCTTACTATCCTTAAAGGTGCCTTGTCCTGGTTCCCTTCGGGACAAATTCCAAGTTGCTATTTGGCTTTGGAATACAACTATGCACCAAAGGTGAGAGAATCCATTATCCCTGGAGACAGGAGAGAGAACATGATGTCCTGGTGTGGGACAGGGAAAGTGAGTTTCTTTTCTTTATCCCATAAGCTCTCTGTCAGCCATCCTGCCTCTGATGTGTGTATGCGTGTGCGTGCTTTTATTTCTACATGAACACAAATTGCTCTAATTAGGAGGGGGGATTCTTGTATTTTTATATGCTAAGCCATTTTGATTAATTACTTTAATAAAATGACAGACAGATGAACTCTGGAATTCACTGCCATCTGCTCCAGTACAATTCACTATCACTGATACGAAGGTGTTGGCCTTCAGATAAACCCTAGTGCTTAGAGTAACCACTCCATTGAATAAGTACTTGTGCCATGTGGATGTATTGATCCTTGTGAACATCTGCAACTATTCCTCTGTAAAAGCTATGGGTTTGATCCATGTGGCTCTGTATCAGCCTTTTTATTATCTACCAAGAACAGATGTATGTGCATATATGCAAGAACAAACCATATTGCTGTGTCTGGGGGTGTGTGACCCTGGGGTAGATATTACAGATGTTTATTGTCTAGCGTACCCTTTGGTGTAAAACCTCTCCCTGCCTGTCCAGGAAGAAAGCAGTCCTGTGGCTCAGGTTGAGATGGTTTGTTGTATTAGAAGGGTGACACAATAGGATGCTCTCTTTTTTCCCTTCTCTCATGGAAATGTATATTTGTTCTTTCTTTGTGTAGCTTCTCAACCTGAAATAAAAATCACTCCGAATAGAATTCACGTTTCCATCTTTGTTTGGAGAACATCCAGAGTTTTAGCTGGGTCAACCTTCCATAAGCAGCTGTTGCCTTGCTGGACCGGGCTTTTGGGCTCTGTCACCAAGCAAGCTCTCCGTGACTCCTTTGGGAAATGCCCCTTAATGCGAACTGTAACTTGGTATTCGACTTCAGCTTCCCAAACTGTGCCCTTTGCCAGCATGCCCCCTTTGCCTGCATGCTGGTGTCACCGGTTACCAGCATACCACTCCATTTAACCCCTTTCCCTGGAATCCAGGGCAAGTCTACCCAGGGTAGCATTTCTGCAAGCCCTCTGCGCAGGTACTCGGCTCTCAAGGGCCTTTGGGAGAGCCCAGTTTAGTAGGTATTTGTATTGATGTGCGCCATAGTGGAGCAGCAGGGCTGACAGACCTGTTGCCTATTCTGCCAAGCAAAGGGACTTTGTTCCCTGGAAGAGGATTGACAAGTGGGAGAAATGATGGAGCAAATCCTTTGCAATGGGCAACTGGGATGGTAAGGTCAGGGAAATCTTGCATTTGACACACACAGTGAGCAGTGTGCTGGCTCCCCGACAGAGGGCCTGGGTTTGCTATCAAAGTGGGTTTGATACAGCTTTTCCATTAAAAGCCTACATATCTCCATAGGGTAGACTTTATCCTGAGATGCACAAAACAGAACATCAGAAATCCTGAAGAAAATCTATTCAAGTGTAGTGTGGTTAATTTCAAGCATGAAATTCTGCTCCCAGAACTAAAAATAGTGCAATAGTTGCAAGAATTGCAAGCACCAGAAGAAAGAAGTACCATTTGAAGACCTGCCCAAGTATGACTTACAAATTGTGACTGGTATTGTGCCTTGGTATGTACATTTTATGAAGCCATCAATGTGGGGGCTTCCAAAAAGCCTATCTCAACCCGTGGTTGTGTCTTTGTCTTCTCACTTCCTAGCTGAAACCCCAAAGAGATACCTGGAGGAATCCTAGACCAGCAGTTGACAGACATGTCCTCTTGCACCTTAGCCTCTGCCAGTTTTGGATGCAGAGATGGCTGTTGCCTGAACCAAGCAGGTAAGTGGTGGTTGTCAGAGCTGTAGCGCCTTGCCATTTGAAACCCATGAAGCTTTATGAGACCTGCGGAAAAATGTGGCATGATCGCTTGTCTTTAATGAGAACTGAGTCAAGACTTAGACTGAGTCCCAGCTGACTCAAGCCAGACATTATTAGAGCTTGCTAAGCCTCATTATAGATAAACAGGTAAAGTTTCTTGTGATATTTCAACAGAGATAAAAGTTGGAAGAAGTTCTAATTAAAGTTCAATGACTTTATTCTGTTTTCATAGAATCATAGAATAGTTAGGGTTGGAAAGGACCTTAAGATCATCTAGTTCCAACCCCCAGTGGTGGTTTCTACTACCATCTACCAATCTGGCCATGTGTTCCTCATTTCTGCCTTCTAAAATGTCTGGGCAGACAATATACATTTGTCTAGTTCACACGAAGAGAAGCATTTCAAACTAAGTATGTAACAAAAGCCACTGCTATTGTTGTAACTTAATATTTGCAGAGGAAATCCAATTACAGCCAAGGAACAGATTAGTCCTTTTTGATTAGTCCTTTTATTTCAATCCCCAGTTTGTCTGATTAAGATAGATATAATGACAAGGAAGTGCTTTGTGAGTTAGTTAAAGGGAAGACAACACCACTTTGTTCTGCTGTGAAATGAATGGTTGGAGTCAAACAGAGAGTGTGGTAGAGCTGTGCTAAGAGGTCATCTTTAAAACATGGATGGATGTTAGCTCGTTGAAAATCAAACCTCTGCTACCTCCCCATTATGAGCATTCAAGTGAATGTACAAGTATGCTGTACCTCTTGGGTGTCTTGTGAGCTGTGATGTGCATGAAAATAGCTTGACAAGCTTATGGCTAGCTTGCTGTTCTTGCAAGTTCTTGCATCTTGGGTGGTAGAGTCAAGCCATCATGCTATGGAATACACCTGTGGTTTTAAACCGGGCAAGCAGGGTGGCAGCTGGAATTTATTTCCACATTTTGAAAGTTATCCTCCTGACTGTAAGGGTTGGGTTTGCCAAAATACGTACCAGGGACCAGCCAAATTACAAACTGGCTCTGAAACCTAGGACCGGAGATGCAACGCAAAGCCACTCCACAGGCTTGGGTAACAGGACTTTGCTGTCTCTGCAGGATACTGATCAGCAATGCCATGTAAATGACTGTAATCACTGTGTCACCAAAGCATGTACACAATCAGGCGGATCTGGATTCTCTTCATCGTACTGTGCTAGAGTATAACCAGATGGCGATGCCTACAGCTACTGGAGTTTGAGGGAGGCCTACCAGCATTCACAACTGAGTGGGTTTCAACCAACAGCAACCAAATCATTAAGATTAAGCTTCCCTGGTACTGCATCGTTAATCAGTTCAAGTAATTTGACTCACCAAGCATCCTGAAAACACCAGGCTTTGAGCTTTTAGCAGTACCATTCTTGCTGAGATAGAAAACCAGCGTAGCCAAACTCAATATGAGATCTTACAGAAGGGGAATATGGTATTATTTACATTTCAAGCTGATTTTACTAGCCTGCACTTGTTCTCGTATAGATACAATTCACTCGATGCTCACAAGCAATGAAACAAGTTGTTCAAGTAGTCTGGCCCCAGTCACTTGCATGCAACATACACAACAAGGGATGACAGCTGTCAAGTCTTCACTAAGCCTCTCAATTTTGGGACAGTTCTTAAATAATCTTTAAGAATTGGCAGTTGCTTTGTAGTGATCCTTGGGTGCAGTCTCTGCTCCTGCTGGGCTGCCAGGAGAAGGAATGGGATGTGATACAGAGGGTCTTTCACGAACGAGCTGTGTGTGCTATGGGCTTATCAGTGTGCAGTCCTTCTGGGCTTAACAAAAACAACATAGTCTCAATTGTTTCAGCTGGGAATGGTGTCATTAGTTATGGATACAAGTTGTCCTTAACCCCCCTGCCCTGCTATTCCTTCTGACACTTCTGACACTGAAACGGATTTTCATTCATACCAATCCCAATATTGCTTTTACAACTGGCTCCTGCAGATCCCAGCTCCGGTTTTGAAGAACCTCTGGGTTTTGCTCATGACCACATAAAAATGACAAAGGGCCAAGACATTCCAGTAATTAAAAGTGAAAAATAAGTCCCTCACTGACAGCACAGTAAAACCTCACGTTTAAAAAGCAAAAGTAATTCCAATTATTCATTTCCCATTATAATTCACATTGATCAAAAGCTGCCATCACCTCCTGACCATCCGGCTCCTATTGCTTTCACAGCCATGTGTCACCTTCATCCAACAAGAGGAAAGGTGAAGCACCTGGACCACACGAACTCCGTCCCCTTCGTCCCCTAGCCCTGATCTGCGGCTATGGGGTGGTATAGAGGGGCTGGATAGAGGCAAGGAGATGCTTTGTCCTTCAACCTTCAAACACCTGCCTTTGTGGCCGGGTCTCTTGCTGCTGGCAGTCCATCCAGGCTGTTCGTGGTGTGATGGGTACATCGTGTGGCCAGAAAGGAGAAGTGCAATGTCTAGTTGAGCTTTTTCTTGGGCTAAATCCTTCTGCTCTGCCCAGCTGAGCAACCGAATGATAAAGCTCTGAAGCTGCCCAGCTGCTGGCACTAAAGCTCATTGCTCTGCACTTCAATGTTGGCATTAAACCAGATGTCACTCTAGTTTTCCCTCTGTTCTTTATTAATCCTGCTTTACATATTTCATTTGTTCAGCTGCCTTGGGTGTCTCATTTTCAGGTGCTTCTCCAAAATCGGGAAGAAAAAGCAGCAGCTACCTTTTTTTTTAGGGAATATTTAGCAATAGTGCAGTGGAAGCTATGATGTTGTACAAGAGTGAGGGAAAGTTTGTAGGCTTTCAGTGAACCTTTTCATAACCTTATGAAGAAACTAAAGCAACATGGCTCAGTTTGAACCTGCTTATTTAGACCCTAAGGTGAAGGACTGGATTCCTCAGGGGCCTTCTGTAGGTCCAGGACCATAATTAGTGAATTAGTGATACAAATGTCGGATCAGAGAAAATCTGCACGTCCCACCTGGAAGAAAAGGTCTGGGAACACAGAAAAGCACAGGGCTGAAATTCATAGCAATGAAAGAACTGGGAGAGGGTCTGGGAAACATGGAAACTAATCTAGATGTGAGTAACTGCACTAATACTGGTGGGAAACGGTGGATTAAGGAGCAGGATCAGGAAGTTGAGGGCAGTCAGAAGCATGAGTCAATGCCCTGCGCTATGAATAAGGCAGATACTATACCAGGGTGTGTAAACAGGAATGCATCCTGGACTACCATAACAGTTTTGCCTAATTATAGCCAAGCCCATGCTGGAGTTTTGGACCAGATTTAGGTGTTGAGCATTAAAGAAATGTGGCCCAAAGAGTGAGAATCAAGAGGAGAACAAGGGGAACAGTCCAAGACGTGGAAATCCTGACTTGTGGGGAAAAGGGCTGTTAGCCTCAAGAGGAGAAGGACCTCTCCCTGCAACCACCTTTGAGAGAGGGGTTAAGCAGAGAGTTTGCCAGCCGGGCTGTCCTTATGGAGCTGGAATGCATTGCTGTCAGCTTGCAACATAGGTATTTTTATAAATCAGTGCCTGAGCAGCTTTACCACAGGAGAGGAATAGTGAACACTTCAGTGTAGCCAACAGAAGCAAAGGCAGCTTGCGGCAACTCCTTCCCATCTGGATGACAACACTGGAAGACAGGCAGGTGTACTAACAGGTTACATGTAATATTAACTCTCTGGCTCTCTGAGGCACAGCATCAGAAATGGGACAATTTTCCAAATGCAGGCAAATCCTCCCCACAGATAATGCCAAGAGATGACAAAGTGATTACAACCAGATTTTCTGTTCCCTGCAGTACTCTAGCAATACTGCTAGCAATGCTCTGCGAACAAATAGGTCAGGTCCATGCCCTGCATTTGCTGACATCTCATCCACCCCAACCATTTGCATTGTGAGACTGAAATCTGATGCCAGAGATAGTGTAGATGCTATTCAAGAGCATATGGTGCACGTCCAGGCCTCAGGTTTCATCGCAGAGTATTAACTGTCCAGCTTGTAGTGTGAGACCATCCAAGGTAGAAACAAATTACAAACTGATGTGCCAAAAGTTCTGGATAACAGCATAACATTGGTTATGGGCATATTAAAAGTCTGGATACGCACAGCTGGTGCTCCTGATGGATCTGGTTCTGTACAAAAACATGGATATTCCTGCCAAGAAGGTGGAAGTTTTTTGAAGAAAATGGATTCTTCCTATCCCAGCTTCTCACATATACTAGAAATGAGCCACTTTCAAATGTGATCATTGTACGCAAGCTCTACTTCACGTCATAGGTGAGGGGATTACTGCTGAATTATTGCATCCACAGATGTGGTGAAATCATTTGTCTTTGCTGGGGAACCTTCTTGCTAAAAAACACAGGTCTGAAACATCTTGAGGTCTAAAATCAGCAGAAAATACCCATGTTCGTCTTTGCCAGCCTTCAGTGACTTTGGGAGGGAGTTTGGCTGGGCCTGACCCTGCATTATAGATCAAATACACTAGTGACTCTTCAGCAGAGCTCCTAACAAAGGCCAGATGTCAGCAGGAAAAGAACCACTAGCGTTCCCTCAGCTTTTAAATACTCTCTCCTCTAGATCACCAGTTTATTCCCCTTTGTTTATTGACACCCTCCCAGTGTGAGCCCGAGGAGAGGGGAACGATTCTGCGTCGCCCTGGCTGTTCCTGCAGACATCCTGGCACTCGTTTGATCGGAGGCGGAACAGGACGCAAACCTTTCCTGCTGGGGCTGAGACCGCAGCCGAGCGCTATTCAGCTTCGAGAACAATGTCTGGCAGCTTGCGAGTAACTTAAACCAGCTAAAAACAGCCGAGCCCGGGCATGAATCATGACCTATCCGTGTTTGCTTCAGCCTGAAATCAGCGCGGCCTCTACTGGCAGGCAACCGGCTCCCTGGAGAATAAGCAATAAACAACATCAGAAAGGACTTCTCTTTCACAGGGGCTCTGCCTGTGTTGAATTCCAACGAAAAGCCAGCTCTCAGAAGCGTGCATCCGAGGCAGGGGAATGGATGTGCAGCCCTCCGGAAGAGCTCCACCAAAGGAACCCCAACTGCAGAACTGTGATGCAGGAATAAAGATGATGCGGGCTTTTCCTTGGCCGTGAGTTCTGCTGAGAGCGCCGTGCCATGTTACACAGTGGCATTACAGCTCTGCTTTTTGAAGCAGCCCTGAATCTGATATTCCCACTCTCTGTTCCTTTAAAGAGAATAAAGAAGGTCCTCCCAGATGGTAAATGGGCCCCGTTCCACTGAGGTCAGTAGAGTAAACCTGTGTCACAGCAGCTGGGAATCTGGACTATAATACATAGGGTGGCAGACTGGAGCATGCTGCACGGGTGAGCAGTGTGGCCAGTAGCAGTAGCCAGGGACTTGGGATACCTACCTGAACGAACCTGAGAGGTCTCTTTGGTCCTTCACGGCCTAAAGCTGGCAGCAATGTCTTTCATAGATCCCTGTATCAGATAACCGACCTCTGGGAAATCTCAGCATTGCCTAAGAAACAAGCTCCAAGAGCTGGTGATGCAGACCAAAACCAGGATCAGACTCCGGACACAAACAAGGGGAAAGGTTTGTATTTTCCATGGGATATGGGTGCTCCATCCACCAAAGAAGGGTCATGTAGCGCCCCAGAGCAGCCTGTTTCAAACCTGTGGTGTGAGCATTTACCCAGAAAGCCGGGTAAACCTCCAGCCTAATGGAGGTAATTATGCTCAACATCAGTTTGTACTTAACGTAGCATCTTCTGAGAAACAGAGGTACCGTGGTCAACCATTAATTACTGCACATCCAAACTGTAACTGTAAAGTTTGCTCTGACATGCCAGGCACCACTGGCACCCGATGGGCAGTCCCTGAACACACTCACAGCCTGCTCCTGAACCAGACCCCCTCTGCTGCACGGGAGGAAGCTCCTGGAGCGGGGGGGCTGCAGGGCCTTTGCCACGTCCTTGTAGGATGCTAAAATCCATTTCCCATTGCACGTACAGCCATTGCCCATGCAGCACCACTTGTACGTGGTTTTCCACCCAGGAACCCCGCGGGGAGCGGGGCAGCGCCTGCCAGTGCACGGCTCGGCCGGGGAAGGTCAACGCACAGGCTAAGGGAGGCACCCTGAAGCTGCCACTGCTCCTCAAGGGCACTGGAGGTGACGCTGCTCCGGCACCAGCACCCGGAGCTCCTCAGCCTCCGCTGCCCGCCGGCTCCTGCGCTCCGCCCCAGCTCGGCCGGGGGCCGGAAGAGAACCCGCAGCGGAGCGGAGCGGGGCCGGAGCCGCGGCGGCCGCTCCCCGCCCAGCCCAGGGTCAGTCCCGGCCGTGCCTCGGGCCCCAGCGCCACGCTGCGCTCCCATTGGCTGCCGCGCCTCAGGGGCGCCCCGTGTGACGTAAACCCCGCGCTCCCATTGGCTGAGACGCTTGCGGTGGGCGGGGCGGCGGGGCCGCCGCTCGGTAGGTGCGGGCCGGGGCGCGGCGGTGGTGGCTGTCCCCGGGGAGGGATGGGGAGGGGGGGAAACATGGCCCGGCTCTGCGCGCCGCCGGGGCCGCTCGGGGGTTCCGGTGTGCGGGAGGGCGCAGAACGGGCGGCTTTACCCTTCGGAAGCCCGTCCCCGTTACCTACAGCGCGTTCTGTGCGTGCCGCCAGCAGCTCAGGGCACCCCGGGGTGCGGTGCGTGCTCCGCTTGTTGCCTTTGTGTGGGAATTGTTGCGTTTAATACGCGAGTGTTCAGCTGTGGAAAGGTGGTTTTTCGGGCAGAAAGCATGTCAGAAAAGGAGCAAAAAGTACGAAACCTCACATCCCGCAGGCCTGAAAGGCAAGAGCGGTGTGATTTCCCCCCAAAACAGACCCCAAACCACAAGAAAACCAGAGCTGGTGGGAGACAGAAGCTATCAGCGGACTCTGCCCTTGTTGGAGTCTGCCAGCCAAGGGACCATGCCCACGGACAAAGGGGGGTCTCTGGCTGGGACAGAGCCTGCGTTGTCCACTGGGTTTTGTGTGGATCTTTGGCAGGCGGCTTCTGGTGACGTGGAAAGGAGAGGGATCGCTTTCCTGGAGGGCTCCCTGTGGACCTTCTCCCATTGGAATGAATGAAGCGGCCACTGTCCTCATTTCCTATCAGTCGCGGGTTGTGTTTCTGTGCCGCCCCGGCGCTGGGGAGACAATGGAAAGGGCTCGGGTGTAGCCGGGATTTCTGGCTGGGTTCCCTTGGGTTTAAGGGCAGTGGAAAGTCTCCGCCGTGCCCAAGGCTGTGGTCGCACGTCCCTCCTCAGAGCAGTGCCTGTCCTCACCGAGGACCGGGGTTTGCTTCTTCCTGCCGTGAGCGTTAATCTTGGTGCGGCACCGCCACTGGACCTCTGAGATTGAGTGGTTTTGGTGGAGAACGGTGAGAAACCTCGTTTGATGCGAGCCTGTGTAGCTGGGAGGTGCACTGCGTGGCATTGGCGTTTTCACCTTGGTTTTGAACAGGACTCTTTGCCTGGTTGTCCTGTGCATGGGGTGTGTGTGACTTCCCCATCCAGTTTGCATCCAAGTGTGGTTGGATGTTCACCTCCCTCTGAAATGAGTTGAAATTAGCTGCCTGAGTTAGGGACTTCGGGAAATAAGCGAAATCTCTGGCATCCCTTTGACTGCCTTATTCTGAAAGGAGCAGATTTACTCTCGCTTGTGTGTGTTGGCAGGTTTCCTGGTTTCTCTTTAGCTTCCAATTAGCTTCTGGAGATTTAATGAACCTGTGAAGCAGCACTTGCTCTTTTTTTAATGACTGATGGCCTCACGGAAGTGTGCATCACTGCAATGCTGCCTCCGTAAGATCAGCAAACAGCCCTGAAAGTTCAGATTAGTCCAACCTTGGCGCTCCTGCAAACAGCTACAGAAATAACAGTTGGGTTCTGACCTGTAATTTCTTCTAATGTTGTTTCACACATGCTGTTTAGATTTATGGTTAAGCTTATATCTGGTTTATAGTTGTTTTTACTGAGCTGACAACATGACTCAAGCCACTGCATCTGTTGGAAGTAATGATGTTTGAATTTAATGTGGCACCGTCTTAAAGGTAAAGATGTGCTGTGGGTGAGTGTTAATTGCTGCACATTCAGTTTGAAACTTTAAACTTGAATTTGATGCCTTGTTAAGCTTTTCTTCCTTTTCCGCATCTTTTTAAATCACTGCCCAACAACAGAACTGGTTGTTGAGGCATTTATGTCCTAAGCTACGGGTGCCCAGCACCCTCCTCTTTGTTAAGGTTTCTATTTACTGGGTCATTTTTGGATGTAAGGCACTGCCAGGTATGTGCAAGGAGGAGTTAGAGCTGCTGAGATGCCTGTTCATATCATGGTAATTAGTGATGTTCTCTGCTGAATCACCTGCTTGTCACAGGGGAAAGCACCCAAAATGGTGAATTTAAAGCTTTGAAATGGATCCTGGAATTGAATATGTGCTACCAGGTAAGTTATCATCCTGGTGGCATTTTGCTCATTAGGTTTTGATTGGAAGAGGAGGTATCCAACCAGGGAGCATTGTTTCTCCCTGTGGCCAAGGCCCTAGCTTTCAAAGCCAGTAAATATATATCGGGGTTTTCTGGGCATTTAAATCACCTGTAGGCTGGATTTGGCCTTTGATTCACTAATGTTTGCTTGCCTGGCTGTTTAAACAAAACTGATTCAGAGGGACCAAACAGGAGGTGGTGAAGGCTGACAGGTAACAGGGGCTGCCTGCGGGGGCTCAGGAGACCTCTGGCCTAAACAGTCTCTATGATGGATACGTGAAGAAATCATACACATGCTGTGTGGGAAACACGCATGGGTTCCTGAGTGGTTTGGGATACTCTTTCTGTTACCATCAGAAATCTATCTTCTGTTGAACAAGTTATATATGCTTACATGCATCTTAATGATACACTGTTGTATAATATGTAGGTAATTTAGCAGGGGTGGGATTATCAATTACATTTACTGCAGTCTGCACGCCTTTTTGTTTGGATATACAACCTCTCTGGGGGGAAAAGAGAGCAATGCCATTGATTTTAGGGTAACGTGATGTGCGTAGGGTTGTTCGATAGTGACCGAAGTGGTGGAGCGGTTGAGTCCAGGTATCAGCAGAGGCTTGCATGGAGGGCTGGGAGAGCCCAGGCTTCACTCGCCCTCTCCACAGCTGCTGCCATGCTCAATATAGCTGTGGCTCTCGGGGAGGGGAAGGCAGCTGCGGTGCCGGGGTTCGGGCTCCTCTGGAGACCCGGCACGGCCCTGCTGCTCTTTGTTCTGTGCATGGGCTCTGCCCATGGGAAAACCCCTGTCTCCGGGAGGTGGGATCATAAAACGAGGTTGTGACACAACAGCTAACGGAGGATGTGAGTACCAGCTTCTTCCCCATTTCCAAGTGTTGTTTGGGAATACTCTTCTTCCTTCTTTTTGTTCTTTATTTGAGTTTGCTGTTGATGTTCCCGTTGCTCCCGTCCCTGGCACTAGCTGCGTGAGTACCAGCAAAACCACTCCGCCAGTATTTTCCTAATGCCAGCACTCTGCTTTGGGCTGGAGTTGCCGAAAGAAGCTTTGGTATTGCCAGCGCCCTGAGGATGTGACTGAGCCTGGGGAGGGGATTTTGCCAGTGCCGGTTTTGATGCTTTGTGAATAGCCCATAGGGTGTCACTTATGTTGAGAGTGGCTTCGAGTCCTGCTGGCTTGGAGAACGCAAGCAGAGGTGCTCGGCTCTGGTGTTCACTAAACAAGATCTGTTGGGTCTCCTTGGTTTGGCTCTGCTGCAGCTCCTCACTCCAGGCCAGTGAGAGGTGGTGGTGGAGCATCTCTGTGCACAGAGCACTCGGGGCTCAGCTTTGAAGCGTCTCATGTTAGAAGGTTCTGCAGCAAGATGCAGTGGGCTTGGCCATGCAGCGGGCTTCAAAATGTGTCACTGGTTGAGCAAGTCTTCCTGTTAATTAATTCCACAAGGAGTTAATTCCATGAGCTGAGCTCGAAGCTGCCAAGTGCCACGTTTGGGTTTTGCAGCCTCCTGCCTCCCCCTCTTATTTTTTATATATACTTCTCACTGCTGGGTGGTTTCCATTTCAAGGCTTTGAGTTTGCCTCTTAAAACCCCCTCAACTTCCCATCCCAACAGCCTTCAGGGCTCAGCCACCCTAAAAGGTGCTTCACGTCCTACTTAATGTCTCATTTGGGCCCAGTTACCGCATGGGGTACAAGCTGTTTGTGAGATTGGCCATTGATCCAGGAGACAGTCGCACTGTGCCGGCGAGGTTTGAAGCACAGGTTTGGTCTCAGTGCAGCCAGAGCTTTAATTAGGTTTTCCCTGTCTGTCATGTCCTCAAAACCAGAAAACACTGCTGAGACACAAAGGTTTGCTCTTTCCTCTGTCCCACTCGATGCCCAAGATGCGATTTTCAGGTCTGACTCAGTAAATGCTTTATCCCTCCATTATTAGACATACCCAGTTTCCTTACTTGGCATGGAGACGAGGGGGTCCAGCGAGTGCTGCTACCGCGTGTTGTGTGTTTCAGAGAGCCTGAGGCTTGGCATCATCCTGTCCCAATGGCTGTGGATGTGGGAAAATCGCTTTCCGGAGCCTCGCTGAGTGGGAAGGCCGAGAGCAGCGGTCGGTGGGACTGTGCAGAGGTGGAGACGGACTACCCAGAGCTTGCACACAGCCTGCGCCGGGTTGCAGGGGCAGAGCAGGCCAAGCCGTGCCCACAGGGGATGGACGGCGTGGCACTGAGCAGGCACAGTCGCTTGGCCACTGGTGTTACCCAGGGAGGCTCGAGCTACCACCAGGAAGTGCCTTCAGCATCCGCATCCAGGCTTCCCAGAGCAAGGGGAAGCCTCTTGGAGGCAGAGGCGTTGATCTATGGAGTCGCTGACAGTGGTGATGTGCCTCTTCACGTTAGACACCGGTTCCTGTCCTCAGAGGAGCAGCAGGTGAGCGGGGTGTACATACGGGTGTTGCTGCATCACCACGAGGTGCCGGGTGAGGTGGGGACTGGTGTGTTTGTTCTGTCCTAGTAAGGGCTTTCCCCCTCCTGCACCCAGAGCGTGCCCTGGGCTAAGCCTTGAGCTGGGGAAGGGCTTGGACTCCAACGCCAAAGCCGTTTCCTCCATTCCCATATTGCTGCTGTGGAGCTGGGAAGTCACTCGGGACAGGGCTCCTTAAATAAGTGCCTCTCGCTGCCAAATGACTTGTGCAGCTTCCCAAGCCCTCGGGATGCCTTTCCTTAAAAACAAGCCTTACTGCAGGCTTCAGGCAGCTGCATGCCATCCTGCAGACAGAGCAGAGTTCCCCTTCCAGCCTCTCCTTGCAGCAGGTCCAGGACTGGCCTTTCATCTCCATACCTAGCACAAAGGGGCCTTTTGTTTGGATCCTGTGCTTCATTTTATACCTCTCTCTCTCCCTTTCCCCCCATCCTGGAGCAGGTGAAGGCATCGGGCTGTTGGGAGCCCGTGTCCAGCCCTCCCAGCTCTGCAGAGGAGAGCATCCTTGCTGGTAGCTGCCACGTTGCCGGCTGGCAGAGCCAAAGGCTGGGGGCTCAATCCCCGCTTTCCTCCACGCTGGAGCTCCTGCAGCCTCAGACCCCACCGAGCCCCAGGACCACCCTGCGGAGCCGCTCCGCATCGAGCTGCTCCGCTCTGTCTTCGGAAGAGAACGGCCTCTCCGAGGAGCCATCCCGGAGCTTGCCGGCCAGCGTGGATGTGCCTTCCCCTGCCACCAGCACCCGGGACCTGTGCCGCCGGTGGGGAGCAGCACAGGGCAGGGCGCTGCGGGTGCACAAGCCCTTCCGTGCTCTGCTTGACTACCGCAGCACCGGGGGGTGCATCAGAGGGATGTCATCCTATCAGGCTGATTACTGGGCATGTGCCCTCCCGGATTCATTGCCCCCATCTCCAGACCGTTGCTCGCCCCACTGGAACCCCAATAAGGAATATGAGGACTTGCTGGATTATGCTTATCCACTGAAGCCAAAATACAAGCTGGGAAAGGTGCCAGATCCTTTCTTCCATGACTCGGGGATAGGTTTGGACAGCTTTTCTCTTTCCCCTGAGGGCACATCGAGGTCCACCAGCATCTATGGCCGAGGTGGGCAGGCTCAGGGAGGCAGAGAAGGTGGACGCTGGGGGTTCATGGGCTCTGCAGAGAGGTTCTCTACCGTGGAGCCTGGAAAAAGGGGCCTGTCATCCTGTGAACCTTTACCTATTGCAAAAACATCCTCCACAAGAAGTGCTTCCTCTCATCCTTCAAGAAGCTTGGCTAAGGATGGAGCCACGGAGTCAGCTGGGACGGGCTCATCTGGCCGCCCTGCTGCGGATGGGAGAAGCTGGTGCACCAGAGGGAGCCCCTTCCCAAAGGACAAAGCGCAGGCGAAAAGCACTGGTAGGTTTTTACCTACAACGGCAGTGCTCCCCTTGAGGAAGGAGTGGGACGGTGATGAAGAATTCCTCTCCCTGCCTCCGAGACTGCTGGAGCTGGAAAGGCTGGCTCAGTTCTTGTCTGATCTTTCCTTAACTATAAGGACTCCTGGGCATGACCATCATGAACTTCCATGTCACAGCAACAGCAGGAAGCCCCGTTCATCCCAGTTGGCTCCTTTCGGAGGAGCAGGTGGCAGGGATGGAAGAGGGAGTTTTGAGGGTTATGCTGGGCTGTGGCACCCCTGCAGCTCTCAGAAGTCCAGCCAGGAAAACACTGAATTATGTGGCCGCATCCATAGGGATCCTTTGCAGGGGCTTTATCTACCGACTGGTGTCGGAGACACGTTGGATGGCAGGTACCTAAACGAACCACGGGTCAAGGGGCATCCCAAGAAGAGCCTTCAGAGCGAGTCCCTTGCCCAGTGCATTAAGGTAGGCTGAGACCAGAAATAAGGTTTATTATGGGGAGCTCTCACATGAACTGTGCCTGTGTTTATGGCACAGTTAATTAAGGCTTCCCCTTCTGCATGGCGTTTGGTGCCTGGCAGCTGGGTGTAATTTATGCAGGGGGGGCTCACTGGAGCAGATAATTCCTTCTGATGGAGCAGGAGCCCAGCTCACTTCTCCTGGGGGGATCAGCTTCCCACCACCCATCCATCCTGCAGCACTGCTGCATCAGGGAAGAGGCCGGAGCTGCAGCTGGGGCTGGTGTGGAGCCCAGGGTTTGCTGCCTGCCCCGTCCCTCTCACTGTTCAGTGCTATCCTTCCATTGGTGCTGTGTTCCCCACCTTCCCCTCCATTGTCTTCCTCACCCCAGCCCTGTGCTGCATTGGGAAGCCATGGTGGGCTGTTGGCTGGAAAGTAGTTACTATCCTGCATGCAGCTGCAAACACCAGGGCAGCTCATCCCCTCCTCTTGCATGGGGATAACTGCTGATCTAAAAGGGCCTTTTCTACTGTCAGCATCAGGGTGTATCTCACCTCAAATCATGGTTCCAGGGGGGAAGTAGCTCAGCTTTATAGCAAATTCCTGACTCCTGAGGAGCAGGAGTACGGCTGCAGTCTGGTTTCAGTGGGAGTGTTTAGGGATGCTTATATGTATGAATGGGAGGACAGGAGAGAAGCAGGGAGCAGGCACTTTCCAAAACAGTGTGGGCTCACCTGTTCCTGTCCCTGCCGTGTCTTTGTTGCAGGAACAGATCAATAACCCCTTTTGTTGTGCTCTGTTGGGCAGATGTTTTGCTGCCAGCTGGAAGAGCTGATCCGCTGGCTGTACAACGTCGTGGACATCACTGACAGCTGGGTACCACCCTTGCCGGATGCCAAGAGCATGAAGGCATCGCTGCACCGCTGCTTGGTAGGCATCACCCCTGGCTTTTGTTTCCCCTCTGCAGTGCTGGCATGGTCCAGGCAGGTGATGTGGGATGCATTGGGCGTGCAGAGCTGAATGTGGGAAACTGCTCCCTGGGCAACCTGCAGTACATGTGTCTCTTCCAAACACCCTTCTAAGCATCGCTCTCTTCTCCTGTCCTTCCCAGGAGTTCAGGAAGGATGTGGCCAACCACCGGAGCCTGACAGAGAGCGTGCTGGAGAAGGGAGAAGCTCTCCTCGACTGCATGGCATCAAATTCACCAGGTGAGGAGGAGCAGCTGAGCAGGGGCCGGGGACACAGCTGTGATGCTGGCCATAGCCTCTGCCCCACAAAATCCCTGGCCCCCGTGTGTGTGGAAGCAGTGGGCACAGCTTGCTCTTCAGCAGCTGTATGGGAAGAAGGGGTTTACATCTCCATTGCTGTCTGGAGACTTGAAGCTGAGGTGTCTCAAGGGTTCGAAGTGATAACTTTCAGCTGCACCATGCCTTGACCCTTGCCTTGTGCCGTGCCATCCACTGTGGGTGATGGATGTGTTTGCTCTCTTATAGGTCCCTTAGGTTTTATCTTTACTACAGCATGGCCACTGGGCTGTGGGATGCTGCCAGCCTGCAGCTGGGAGATGCTTTGGCCTGGTGCAGGAGGAGTGATTTTCACACCCTGTTTGCACTTGGTGCATCCCAGGCTGTGGCATGGCACACATGGAGCAGCCGCTCCGGTGACCTGGTGCATCCTGCGTAGTGTTGGCTGCATCTGCAGTCATCAAAGGGGCTTTAGTGGCTGAGTGCTGCATTATGGGATGGGCTTTCTGGCACAGTCCCAAAGGTCTTCTTTAGGAGGCCCCATTTCTGTATCTTCCCTCTTAACCTGGAGCCTCACAGGTCCCTTCCCACCGTTTCCAAACTCTGCATCACATCTTGGATGGGGTGAAGATCAGCTTAGTGATTTCTAGCACATTTCCTTCCAAAGCCTGCCCAGATGAGTGGCACGCTCTCCCTGCGCTTACAGACATGAAATTCTCACATTACTGCCACCTCCGTTCATACATTCCTGTTTTCCAGTTCTGAAGGACACGCTGGGTTTGATTGCGAAGCAGTCAGAAGAGCTGGAAACCCACGCAGAGCACCTGTATGAGTCCGTTCTAGCTGCTGTGGGTCCCATGCGGGGCAAGGATGGGGTGGAGGACAAGGGGGTGCAGCAGGCGGCTGCTGAGTGGGTAAGGAGGGGCAAACCAGCCTTCTGAGGCAGGGGGAGAGGGGGGAAGATAAAACACCTAAATTAGCAAACACCATCCATCAGGCTTCGTTATTATTTCTGTCAATCTGATGCTTGGAAAGCCGAGAAGGAGAAGAGAGCAAGGGTGAGCTCAAAAGGGATGCCCCATGGTCTGTACGTGTGTGTCAGGGAAGAGCAGGGGGGTGGTGACCCAGCTGATGAAACCCAAGAGCACGATGAGAGCGGTGGCAGCTCCTCGGAGGGACACAGGGAGCGGGCAGGTCACTGTCAGTCAGGGTGCAGGGGACAGCAGCAGAGCAGCTGCTCTGATGGAATCAACTTGGGCAGCAGAGGGAAGACCAGGAAGGGGTGTTTTGGGGGGGTTATTTCCTCAGAACCATTCTGCTTTGCTGTGTCATGGAGGGAAGGGGGAGCAAGTGAATCCCGGTGTAAAAGGGGCTAGAAAACTTGTTTGCTGGTTGTGTGTCCAAAGGGCAGTGAAGGGCCTGGAGCACAAGTCTTGTGAGGAACAGCTGAGGGACCTGGGGGTGTTCAGCCTGCAGAAAAGGCGGCTTTGGGGACCTTATTGCTCTTTACAACTGCCTGAAAGGAGGAGATGGAGCAAGGTGGGGGTCAGTCTCTTTTTCCCCCATGTAGCAAGTGATAGGACAAGAGGAAAGGGCCTCAGGGCGCTCCAGGGGAAGCTTAGACTGGATACTGGGAAAAGTTGCTTCCCAGAGAGGGTTGTCAGGCACTGGAACAGGCTGCCCAGGGCCGTGGTGTAGTCACCATCCCTGGAGGTATGTAAAAGCCGTGTAGATCTGGTGCTGGGGAGCATGGTTTAGTGGTGGGCTTGGCTGTGTTAGGATTATGGTTGGCTTGGATGATCTTAAAGGTCTTCTCCAACCTAAATGACTCTGTGATTTCTTGACCAACTTCTTTCAACTAAAACAGAGGCAAAAGCATCTCCAGAGGGCACGGCAGGGGTGCAGGGGTGGCAATGGCACGTGGTGTCTGCAGGCAGAGGCACCACTAGCTGTGTGCTGCCATGGGTAACCATGTCTGTGTGGAATGGAACACTCATGGGTGCTGGTGCTGGGGCCAAAGCACAGGAAGGCTCTTGGCAGCTTTTAAGCACCCAAAGGCAGGAAGTTAGGAACTGCAGGATAACCTTGGCCACCCCCTATTACCTCAGACTGTCGACATCCCCACAGCCTGCTCCATGGCACGCTGTAACATTCAGAGTTACAAAGGGGAAATGGTATTTCCAGCACTTTAGAGATTAACAATAGCTTAAGTGTTCAAGGCCAGGTTGGACAGGGCTTGGAGCAACCTGGTCTAGTGGAAGGTGTCCCTGCCTGTGGCAGGGGTTGGAGCTGGATGACTTTAAGCTCCCTTTCAACCAAAACCGTTCTCTTATTCTGTGATAAGTAGCCTGTTTGTTTAATTGCTAAATATACCTCTATGAGAGCTATATCCTCTCACTTGTGAGCAGCTCTGGAGGTGATTTAAGGAAGTACAGCACGGGTGTTTTCTTTGGCTGTTGGATTGCAGCCAAAGCACAGTAGCAAACTTAATCCATTTCATTTCAGGTGCTGCCTCTATCAGACCTGGCCTTGATCAGCCAGGCACGGGATGGCTGAGAGCTGCAGCAAGCACAAAAGCACCTCCTTCCCCTCCCACAGAGATGCCAAAACACGTACGAGCACTGTGTAGGGAGTTAACCAGCTGGGGCTGATTTTGTGCTGGTTCTTTACTGTGGCTTGAGAAGGGCAAGCTGTACAGCAGTTATCTGGCTGCTGGGCTGTGTAGCTCATGGTTGTGCGAGTGAGGAATGTGCAGCTGGACTTCTGGGGTTTGTTTTCTAATGTAGCTTTCGTGGGGTTTTTAATCAAAGTGGCTTTGTTCCATGTGTGAGCAAGAACGTCAGGAACACACCCGTTTGTAACTGAGTAATCCACCGTGTGCCGTGCAACTCCCTCCTAAGTAAAGCCGTGTGATTTGAATAGCTGTGGTCTCATGGTTGGTTTGTGATCTTCAGAAATAGGTTTGAGAAGCCAAGAAATAGCAACTCCTCCTGCATCTTGGGAGCAAATGGAACTCTTGTTTATACTTAGCCACAGTCCCTGATGGAGAGAGATTCTTCATCGGGGCTGTACCAACAGGACCAGGGTGATGGGTTCAAACTGGAACAGGGGAAGTTCAGGTTAGATATAAGGAGGAAGTTCTTTACTGTGAGGGTGGTGAGGCACTGGAATGGGCTGCCCAGGGAAGTGGTAAATGCTCCATCCCAGGCAGTGTTCAAAGCCAGGTTGGACTGGGCTTTGGCAACATGGTCTAAAGTGAAGCATCCCTGGCCATGGCAGGAGGGTTGGAACTGGATGATCTTAAGGTGCTTTCCAACCCTAACTATTCTATGATTCCTGTTGAAGCAGAGCCTGTTGAACCTCCAGCTTCCTTAGGCATAAACACAAACAGCCAATATACTATAGGAATCTTAGTAATAATCAGGTGAGTACCCTCAGGGGAGAACAGGTTATGCATAAACTGCTGCTTGCTGTTACTTGCAGTAGTGGTCTTGATGCTGTGCTGGGGTCCCCTAGGTGCAGCTCTTGCCCTTCCCCTCTTGCAGCTAGCATAATTCATCATTGTTCACGTAACAGTCACAAAAAGTCTCCATACCCTTTCTGCAACAGAAAAAGGCATCTCGAGTAGCAGAATGAGAGCAGTAAATGCCCAAAGTGTTACAGCCAACTCTAGAATGTTGGTACTTGGCTTTAATTAACCTTTCAACTCAATGGTGATCAGCATGTTCTGGTGCAGAAGATGTAATTTCCTCCCATTCTTGTGAGCAGAACAACATGAAGTTTCTGCACTGCACAAGCACAAACTGAAGCAGTTACAAATGACAAGTAACTCACTGAGTCTTGTGGGGTCTTTTTGGTACTCTCCCCTCTTGCACGTCCTCAGCTTAGAAAAGGGCAGTGTCTTTTATTGCCAAGGTGCAGGTGACAACTCAAAGCAAGCACCAGGTGAGGCCCTGGTACAGGCTGCCCAGAGAAGCTGTGGCTGCCCCATCCCTGGCAGTGTTCAAGGCCAGGTTGGACGGGGCTTGGAGCATCCTGGTCTAGTGGAAGGTGTCTCTGCCCTTTGGCAGGGGTTGGAACTGGATAAGTTTTAAGGTCCCTTCCAACCCAAACCATTCTGAGTCTAAATTTCAGCAGAAAGGCTCAAGCAAATGGTTACAGCAAGACTGGTCTCACTGGCATTGCCAGCACCAGGTCCCATACTATGGGCACTCAGAGTAATGCTTAAACAGTTTGCATTTGAGCTCACAGGTTAAAAGACAACAGTGCCCTTGTTCCAGGTTTCTAGGTCTGCTCTGCTCTCTTCCACACGCCTCCAGCCCGACCTCTGCCGGCTCTAGCATTTAATAACACCAACCCGGTAACTCAGTAATGACTTAGGGACAAAAAATAACCACCAAACAACTGGTGTAGCCCAAGCTGGTTTTGCAATGCTTTTATTACTGTATATATTAACATTGTTTTGGACAGTATGTAGCAGGCATCTTGACATTTAAGTTCATTTGTGCACTTCTCTGCAGGGAAGATGTTTTACCCTCAACACACCTCCTCCTGGTTCACTCCCTGATCTTGGCAGCACTCACTACTCCTACTGCTCCTGCTCCCAAGGAGGAGCAAGTCACACTGTATAATGAATTATACCAACAAGCACATCTCTAATAGAAAGCACATCACTTTATTGTGAAGGTCTCAAGTGGAAGAGTTCAACTTAACCATGACAATACTTCATGTATTACAATTGCCTGTTGATTTATGCAACTATGTTGAAGAAAGCTGTTAGCCAAAGTCACCCCCCCCCCAAAAAAAAATAATCAGAGGATATTTGCACCAGTTTTAGTTTATACCTCACAACATACCTAGGCTATATTTTTTTTTTTACTATCACAGGGTGTATTTACTACTAGGGGAATGTTACATGGTCTTTCAAACATGAGACTATTTACAGAATAGGCTGAACATTGGAGTTTAGATAAAGCTGAACAATTTTACATGTATAGGAAGTGTTATAGGCTAGCTTTCCTGTGGCTTTTAGCTAGACGTCAGGCACTAATGATTTGATTAGCTCTGTACAAAGAATCACACACTGTCCAAAACCTCCTGGCTGCTGGTTAGTTCCAAATTGTTCCAGATAGCGCCTACTTTGAGCAACAGGCTGGGGTGGGGCCTCCCTGTCCCATTGCATCCTTCTGCTGCCTCTATGCGTAACAGAATAGAAGCTAAGCTGTTGCACTAAGTCAGAAATGGACTGATTAGAAGAGGATGGAATCAACAGTATATAGAAAAGACATAATATACTGGTAGAAAGTTATACCACCTCAAGGTTACACTGAAGTCATTCATGTTAGGGAAACACTGTTCTCTACCCCTGCTATCAAAGCGGACAGGAATTCCCTAAGTAGAGTCCTTGAGAAATAAATTAAGTTCCAAGACCAAGTTAGGGAACTGTTGTACATTCAGAGTGCATTATGCCTCCCTGAACATCGGCTGGGTGCTTCTGGTACAGCAGATGTGCCTTAAGCACCATGACCACTCAGTCTTTTGGGCCACAGTCACTAGTTTCACTTGCAAGGAAGGGCTCTGGTCTACTAGGAGGTCTGAGCGCCATGGCTGCACACAGATACATTTTGTGCACAATGCAAGCCTGATTTCCCCCTTAGCCATACAAATTAAGACAATATTTATCACCATACAGTTTGATATTACTTCCAATAAGTACAATATTTATTAAACATTTTCTTCAGTTTTGTTACATATTGTGCAACAAATTACAATATTCTGCAGCCACAAATTATATGCAGAGTATGAAGAAACTATTAATCAGATAGTGTGATCTCTCCATTTATAATTCTACAAGAAGGAACTAGCAAATCAGATCTTACATATATCTTACTAAATTTTATGCATGGAAAGTGACAGACACTGTTGTGCTGTTTGATACAAAATGGCTAAACTTCATCTTCAGAAGACTAAACCTGACATCTAAACATGCCAATAGAAACATCAAAACAAAAATACATCCTAACCAACCACAGGAAACAGTCTGGTATCAGGAAAAGCAACAAGGATTACACATTTATAAACCAGCACACAAAGGTTTAAAACAGTTCTGAAAATGAAGTTAGCTGTCTTGAGTCAAGGGAATAAAAAAAGTCAGTATTGACCATTTACAATCTCTGACCTTTGTGGAGACGGTAAGAATCTGTTGTAGTGCAGCTACATACAGTACAATTCAGGCAATTTTTTTGTTTTTCACTTGGGTTCAGATTGCAAATTCATTGTTGTGAGACAAAAAGGGGGGAGGAGAGTTTTAGCAGCAACCTCCACTAGACTGCTTGACTGGAGTGCTCTGAATTTTAACATTGGACTTCTCTGCACCACCAGCTGTCGCTCCGGGGCCCATTCGTTTTTTAATCTCAGCAGCCATGGTCATGAAAGACTGTTCTACATTTGTGGCATTCTTTGCACTGGTTTCCAAAAACGGAATTCCAAGAGAATCTGCAAATTCCTGCAAATCAAAAAACAGTGAATAGTGAGCTCACACGCTGCTTAGTACCTCACCTTGTTTCCTGGGGCATCGCTGGGTAAACTGCAAGTTCCAATACCACCACCCCATTCCCAGGCTCCAGCCTGATGAAGACTTGCATTGCATGGGGTCAGTGAGCTGCTGGCATTTATGGTACCTTGACATCTGCATACCAAGACACTTCTTTGCACTAGAACTTACTCAAGTGTGTTACAATCCAGATTAGGTGCTCAACTGAGCAAACACATTAACATCAACATACCTTTGCTGTTGTATAGTCTACTACTTTCTTTGTGGTCAGATCACATTTGTTCCCCACCAACAACTTGTTGACGTTTTCACTGGCATAACGGTCTATCTCCTGCAGCCACTGTTTTACATTATTGAACGACTCCTAGGAGATAAGAGAGCAGTAAGCAAGACCATTAAAAGTAAGAGGAAAGCTCAGCATTATTCAGCAATGACTGGGAAAGAAGATTAAGCAATGTACTTCATTTATCAGTGCAGCTCCCAACCACAAGAGAGCTCCCTAATGCTACAGTACTCCCCCTGATTGCCTCAGTCAACACAGGGTCTGTGCAGCTCCTCAGTCCAAGCCCTACACAATCAGCACTTCTTCCCCTCCTGTACTCCCCCCCATTATTTCTCCTTGCTCCATATCCTGACCATTTAGCTTCTTCCATCTGTGACTCTTCCTCCTCTTCCTGTAGCACAGATAAGACATAGCCCAGCTAAAAGCAGAAGAATCCCAAGCATTTACAAAGCACCAGGTATTAGGTGCAAACCACATTGCTGTAGAGATGGTGGAACAACCTTTGATTCCAGCAATGCAGAACTGCCACGCTGCACCAATATCCAAGTTAACAATTGAACCCAATTGTTCTTTTTCTATCAATTCAGGAAACTCTACACTTCCCAAAAGCCCTTCAGACAGGGCTACTGCATCAGTAATCTTCAGAGATCTTTCACAGAAGACACTGCCTCAGTTATACCCTGCACACATGCTGACAATGTTCTGCTTCAAATGCCAGGTTTTGCTGCAGATCAAAGTTCAAATACCTTAAGAGATGTTTCAACAACTTCCACCAGTAACTCAGACTTCCTGTGACCAAAAGCAGGGTGAGACGTATTCACATTGAACAATTACCCGCCCAGCAAGTTTTAGGTTAAGCCTGAAATAAAATGGCTAGAAAGCCACAGATCCCATTGCTCCTTTTATTTCTGTGTTTAGCCCCAAACCAAAGACTAAAACATACATTTGGCTTCATAAGCTTTTAACACAGCCTGAATAATATGGTCACTGTCTCCTTAGGTAGTGCTCAGTTGTTGAATTCCCAGTCTTACTTATCAGCCTACTGTATTCCACCAGGAGAAACTCTCCAGGGACAGGTTTAGC